CAGTCATCGAACAAGGATGAAAAGAAGTATGAGAGTATGGAAACCAACCAATAATCCTATTAATTTTTTTTTTATTTTTGAATGTAATTGAAGGGTTCAAGTAAATTAATTTAATATTACTGTATAACTAAACTAAACTTTTACAAAAGTAATAAAATTTAATTTACTGTATTTCTGAAAGTAGTTCGTAAAAAGTTAAGGATATTTTTTTTTTTAAATTTTTTCAGTTTGTGTAAGTACGAAATGTAATTCTGTTCCTATTTATGAAAGCATTGTATGACTCGTACATTATTTATGATTAATAAAGTCTTATATTTAATTTTTTGATACACAATAAATGTATTGTTTTTCATATTGAAATTTAAGATCTTTAGACAGGGCCGACAGAATATAACATTTTTTAATTCAACATGTTCAATATAATGTACATGAAAATAATTCCTTTAAGAGGGGTGGAAACCAAATGGCCAACTGACCATCTTTCTTCAAATGTAATAATAAAGACCCTGCAGTAATAAAAACATTAGTGCAGGCCCCACATTTTGTTCTGTCTGCAGTACCTTTAGATATACATTTTTATCACGTGTAATAAGTGAATCCAGTTTACTAGGTATTTATGTACTGATATTTTCATTTTTTGTATTAACGAAATGAGTTGGTTGGAAATCACTGAATCACCATAGACATAGTATACAGATATATCTGTATATTAAGTGTATTATTGATATATGTGCAAAACATCTCTTGAAAAATTGTGGCTTATATACTACATGTTTTTATTTGTTGATTCTACCATCAATGTGTCACCAAATAAGTTTGCTAAACTATCATAACATAAAAATGGTAATTAATCATTGTGCTTCAGTAAATATGTACAATTTTTTATGTATATTAAATGTATATATTTTGGTTTAAAATCTAATTAAAAATAATAAAAAAGTAAAATTTTGTTCAATAATTGAAATTTCACATCAAATGTATAAATCATAAAAATATATAGATATGTATAAAATTAGGAAGTACATCAATTAAGAAACTTTAAAAATTTGTGAAAAAAATTAGGCATTCATAGTTTTGTTAAATAATAAAAAGGAATACTTAAAATTACATCATAAATCTGAAAGTAAAAATACATCAAAAAAATTAAATGTTAAAATACAATAAAATTACTCATATAGATATAGTATTTAATTTCTTGAGTGTTCTTGTGAAGTTTTTAATTCATTTAATTTATCAATCGTCATTATTAATTTTCTTCTGGGACCAAATAAACTAAAAAAAATTCAAAAATCCTTAAGTAAAAAATTTCTAAAATTTCACAATATGTATTAATATATAAAAGATATATATACTTCAAATTTGTAATCCATTAAATTTTAAATTTATAAAAATAATGTAAAAAATTACACAAAACCATGGTCTAATTTATACAATGCTGTAATGGAATAAAATAATTTACTATAATTCAAAAAATTCAACTATCTTGATTTAAAATCTAGGTTCTATTTATCAAAAACACATACAACAAAATAATGTTGGTTAATTTTGTGGATGTAATGATTATATATGACATAAATGATCCCATATAAAACATTTCAAAAGGCACTCGGGTAAGTTTAACTTTGATAATAGTAAATAATTTAAATTTAAACATCAAGGAATGATATTTTGTAATTAATAAATTATTATAGTGATTACCTACTTATGTACATTTTGAACTATAATTCATAATTTTATCAGCATAAAGAGTGTAGTCCAAATATAAGAGTTAGGTACATTTTATGTTGTTTGTATTTTATATTTTAAATGCATTATATTTTATGAAAACCTTAAATATAAATCAAACTTATTAAAGTTAACCATTTATAAATATTAAAACTTAAAAAATTTTTGCTTGGCAAATATGTTCTATATTATTTTACTGTAGTATAATGATTTAATCAATTTTCAAATTGAGGATAATACATTATAAAATATAAATCACAATTATTAATAATTTTAAATTAGTTAAACAAAATATTTCTAATATTTAAATTTTCAAGTTTAGTAGAAAGTTAGAAGAATTTAATTGGATTCATCTTAAAATATTTATATCTGAATGGTGCATTTAAATAATTCTTATTTATTTAATAATTAAATATTTATACTGACTGAATTCCAATGTTTTTCAAATCTTGTTCAGTTAGTTTTAAAAACTCATTGTAACTAATGTTTTTTTGATCAAATACTGGCCAATATTTTTCCAATGATAACTGTTTTAGAAGCTTTTCCATATGATAATCTGTTAATGTAAACAAACAATTACATATTGCATATTAGTTATTGTACATATATTTAATAAATATATTTGTTTTGGAAAAATTGATTTCAAAAAATTGAAAAAACTCACCTATACGTTCATCATTTAGTTGATCAGTTTGGTCTGTTTCAAATTTATTGGTCCAAATAGTTTTTGACTTTACATTATTTTCATGGTTACTGAAATCTAATATTTTCATTATTCTTCGGAATCCTTTAGAAATAGCTGTCATTGTCATAGTCTTGCCGAATTTATCACTGCAAAAGCGAGTCATATACTAAATATAAATATGATAGATAAGCGTAAGTTTTTATTTTAAAGGCTTTCGATTTTGATAAAAAATAGTCAAAGTAAAAAATGCACTTCTATTATTGCTTATAATTATGCTGTGGATCGTATTACTCACTTAGTCATCTATAATTTTTAGTGATTACGGAGTTACATAATATAAAGTTTTAAGTTTTACAATTATTTACCTTTTTCTTGGAAAAGTATAACAATAACTACCCAAGAAGTGATTGAAAAAAATAATTTTTTTTTTGTAATTTTCGGAAAAATTAAAAAAATATTCATATTAATCATTTTGAGCTTAACATTGCTTAGTTTGATATTTTTAACTTTTTAAAAAATATAATGTTATATTATATATAATATATAATTATAAAAATATAAATAGAAATTTAACCAAACAAATAACCAAAATAAGTACACAGGCACATAACGTATTATAAAGTTAGTTGAAAAATGAAAAATATGCAGGATACAGTAATGGAATGTTGTCATACCATCTATTTTTATTGAAATTTAAAAAATTTAAAATCATGAATACATTTGAATTAAAATTATAGTTCATTTAAAAATGAAAATGTTTATAGTCTTCAAATATGCTCAAATGGATACAAGCAAAAATTATATGGTTTTAATTAGTATTTTCAGGGGTAGTAATAAACGCGTTCTATATTTCTTGATTGAAATATAAACACATTTATTAAAAAGAATGTAAGAATACATTAAATTTTTTATATACGTTAAGAATTTTGAAGTTAAATGCCCAAGAAAATAATTATTTTGTTTATAAATTATAAATTAAAATTAAATTAAAAGTACATTACTATTAGTATTGATTATAAATACTATATTATATGTATTTATAATCAATGATATTAGCTATTCAATCAATCAATGCCTAATGTTTGCTAGAATATTTCTAAATCGTATTTTTGCGACAAAATCTATTTTTTTTTTTTTTTTTTTTGAGTCCAATGTGTATACTTCATTTTTAAATTGAACATTAAATGTTTGTTAAAGTTAATAAGTTTAAAATTGTCCTTTTTATAGTATCTAAAATTATAATAATATGTTATTGTGAAAAAATTGAACGTTTTGTCATTTTCACGTACTGGATAATATAGCTAATGTATAAACAATTAATATTCTGATAAATGCGTTCATTTTAAATTAAATTCATAAATGTAGATACATATGTTAAAAATAAAAGCTAATTTAAGGTTTTTTTTTTTTTTATTGGGAGGGTGCATTAAAGTGAACTTCAAAATATTGTAAATTATTATTGTATTTTTCATTGAACGCTCTAAATTAGCGAAGTTAAAACTTGATGTATGTTTCTGACTATTTTTGGTGTGATTTTGATTTTTAAGAGTTAACATTATACGTTTAAGCAGCTAAATACAAATATCATGATGTATTCTTTTACATTCACTTTTGTCAGTTAATAAAATATATGACTCATATTTATCGTTATAGTATGGTATATTGCATTATAAATACTTCTAAATTTAATATATGCTTAAATAATCTACTTATAAAAATAATACTTTAGTTTTTAGAGGAATGTATTATAATTCATAGAGAATTGTATAGAATTATTAGATATTTTTAAATCTAGTAATTCTGTCACTAAATGTATACCACGCATTATGATGAATGTATATTATGTATGTTATTACATGAATGTCCTATGTGAGAGCTAAGCATAATTAATTTATTTATTTATATCACAAAAATGTAGTTGATTTTTAGTTAAAATCTAAAACTTTAAAAATAAACATACATTTTTCGTTGTAATTACACTCCACCTGATGAAATTCATAACTTGGTAGATTTTTTCAATGCTAAATAAAATTAGTTAAATGGATCAAGTAATAAAATAATTTACACCAGGAAAAATGAACTACTAAGTTCAAGGGTTTAAGTAGATTTTAAGGTTCAAGTTATAATACGCAATATTAGTTATTGAGCAAATAATAGAGCAACAAAAAATTATTCGTAATATAGCATCCGTCTAAAATATCTAAAACTTAGGTAGATTATTATTTTCATGTTTACATGTAAAAATAACATTACTACTGAAACTAACATTACGTTACAATTTGCTTGTTTTTCTATAAAATACTCCAATATTTCTTCTTGATTGTACAGTACCGCGTAAAAAGTCGCTGTTCTGCCCAATTTATCAGGTATTTCCAAAATGTCAATCTATAAAAAAAAAATTATTTTTTATTTTTTGTAAAACATCCCATTTAATTCTTAAAATATTTCACTTCCATTTATTTAACCAAAAGAGTCAGTCTTTAGTAGTGTATTTACAGTGGCTATACAAAGATAACATGCCAATCTATCTATATACTCATTAATTTGGAGTCTTTAGAATACAGAAAAATACTTAACGATGCAATTACACCAGTTTGCAGCATCTGTTCAATTATCGATGACAAAAATGTGACTGTGGGTAAATTTGTCTTTGAGTTTCAGAGTTTATATATATGTTTGCATGCATATATATATACATACATAGAATAATATAATAATATAATAAAATAAAAAATATATGTGTCCACCTCAAATACTACATACCAATGGGAAAAAAATCGACTCAATTGTTGAACCATTAGAAGTTATAACCTGTTCATCCCCACTCGGCGTCTTAAATAATATATGAAATCAATGTATGCACTACTGGTTCCCGGAGATGACCATTAGACGGCGGTTGCACGTTGGATCATCTAAAGAATATATAGATGTTTGTCACGAAGGTAGAATACCACGAAAGTAGGCGTAAAAATATCAGTTTACTATATAAAGTGGGAAAATCGTTTGTATTAAGACACTTGTCTGGCCTCAAAAATATAATATGGCGAATAAGAGTTTTTTTTGAAAAAACTGATGTAAATATTAAAGTGTAAACGTAAAAGAATGCCAACTGGATTAAGATGTATGGCTCATGATAATATAATACGTCTATAGATGTCGAATATACTAACGAAGGTGGAACATTGACAAAACGTAATAGACATGTGCGTAGTGTTAAACGTGAAAGCCATCAGAGATCTCAAATTCAACTAATTTTTCATTTCATACTTGAGTTCATGTATGGAATCGTTTACATGAAATGAGATGCTAATAATTATTTTTCGTTTATTAAGTCTAACATAATATAATGCGTTAACATTAACACTTTTGTTTTATTACATAAATATCAACATATATTTATTAGAAAAAATAATTTACTAACTCAAAAACAAGTAAAACAATTCATACACATTTTCAATCTCAAGTAGGTAGTCTAGAGACTAGAACAAAATAGTGTATAATTAATAAAACTTTTTATTAACTTCAATAACATAATACGATGTTATTTGAAGTTATGGTAATTTTTATATACAATAATACATAAATTAAATTATTATTGTTTTTAAACTAGAGATAATTTTAAAAATTGTATTAAGTTGTATTAGACAGTTTTATATTTTAGGCCATAACATTAACAGGTACAGCTCATAATTCAGCATAAATTGAAACATTCTTGTAATATGAACACTAGATTTTAGTCGTCACAGAACTTGATAATAATTTAATGTTATTTTTAAATTGATAAATTTTAACATACGAGTAATATATTTTAATGAATAGTTCATTAATTGTATTTTTAAATTAGAATTTTACTTATACAATAAAATTATAAAAATAAACGTGATATATTTTTATAACTATTAAAAATCCAAATAAACATGGGATGTTTATTTTATCAAGTTAAAAGCGTATTTAAAAAAATAATATTTTTATTGCCCTTTATATTTATTTTTTTAAGAAACTCTGGTTCAAGATTCATTACTAATTTCGAGTTTTACACTTCCATTTTTTTTTTAATCTAATCAGTAATAATATTATGAATCTTAATAAGTTGGTAAACGAAAAAATTTCGTATAAATATTGGAAAAATTGTCAAAAATAATACAACATTTTAATTTAGAAAACTAAATAGATTAATGTAGTGTAATATGCTGGTTAAATTGAAGGTAGTGTCTCAGGAATGCGCCAATAAAAAAAACGATATAGAGAAATTGTTGGATATTATTGTATGTAGTCTATACTACAATTAAATGTATATATATTTGCAGAAACCTCGCAGTTTAAGATTTTATACTTTACAATTCACTAAACACATATTAATTTAATAAATTAGACGTGTTGATCAAGGCAAGATAAGGATACATATTATCATATAATTATTAACATAGCTATCAGACTTAGGTAGTATTCCAAATTCAGTATTTGAGATACTATTTATCACAAATATTCATGTTATTATTCTAAATACTTTTAAAAAATATAGAATAATAAGTCTGTTTTAATACAAAATTTGTAGTGTTTGTATTTTTAGTTGCCTAGGTACAGAGTTATCAGGAGAAATACGGTAAACAGTTAATATATTCAAAATTAGTGAAAATATTATTTATCTATCAGACATTAATTTTAAAATTTAGTATGCTAAACATTTAAAATTTAAAATACTATGTGGTTTTAAAATAAAAGTTTTGTTTAGTTTTACTGAAATGTTATTTTACTTATCAGTTGTTTGTATAGATAGTTATTTAAATCAGAAATAGAAAAACAAACTTTTATGATGCTGCTATATATTTTATGTTTTTTAAAACCATATAATATATAAATATATATTCGTTCATAGAAAATTGAATTAAAATCAAATTTTTTTTCAACTTACATTCGCATTCTGTTATTGTTTTAATTAGCTTTAATTAATTTGTAGACTTTTATTGTCTTTTATTGATTTATATTAAAAATATTTTAGTACTTTTATGGCATTATCATTGTATTTGTATGTAAAAATAATATTAAGCTGTTGATTAATATATATATATTTTTTATCCTATATATTATATTGATTTTGTAATTAAAAGTTAATTTAAAGTAATTTTACCATAAATAGGAAATCTGAACCAAAAGTTGTTTGTATTAACCACAGCAAAAGTACCTTGGTATATACTTAATGTACCGTAAATTGATTAAAAATGTTAAAAAGAGACTAAAGAAAACAGTTATCCGATATTTTTTCTAATTTTATTATCATTAACGAAAAACTGAAAAAACTTAAATTGTTGCTCAATTTTATCAAATACCATACATTTATCGTTTAAATAATTAACTTTGTGTTTTATGGCTTGGACGTTAAATAAAAAAAAAAAAAAAAATCAAATATATTATTAATTTCACTTGATATTAAAAATATTTGTCATTATTAATTCAAATGTTTGAAATTTGGTAAAACTTATTACATTTTAACGAATATAGTTAGTATTAGCTAATATTCTCTTTTATCATTTAAAATTAAACGATTGTGTCCATTGTTACCAAAAAGACTTGTTACACAATTAAAAATCTATACAATTATATTATTATTACGTCATTACGTGATACGACTGTGAGTTACAATTATAGAAAGTAAGATACTGAATTTATGTATATACATTGACATAATTTACGTTAGGAAGTACTTTTCGAATGTGATAATTTACCATTGCTTTTAAATGTATCCAATAAACCCGATCGTTTTATAGAAATAAACACAAGGTTTGAAGTATATTTCACATACCCTCTCACTTATACAGTCCACCATTAGTATCCAGTCCAAAAATCAAAACGACGATTTCAGTGTCTTATCGGCTTACATTATATTATTTTTATTAGGTACAAATTGTTTTACGAGTGCTTCTCGTTATTATACATTATTTTTATCAAATTTATTTTAAATACACTTATATGTAAATAGTAAGCTTTAATAATTTTATTGGTCATGAGCATTATTATGCAGGTCATGTAACTTTTTTTTTTTGGAGGAAGTACAAGTAAGGAGATCTGTATTATAATATTCTATCGAAGAATAAATTAGATATATAATTTTGTTTAGTGCAAACTAGACAATCATATTATACCTATTTTATTTTATTTTTATAATTATAAAACGCATAAAACATTATAAACACGTATAAACCTATATGTATCAAGTCAGTGTTTATTTCAGACCTACTATTCCGGGGATATTGTATATTTTCGGAGGAGGTATGTGGTATTTAGTATGAAATAGGAGTAATTAATTAATAAATAAATACAATTTTCCGGGGGCGAATACATTTTTCTTCTGGGAAGGAGCAATAATCCCCACCCCCGGTAACCCTCCTGAAATAAACAATCTGTACCAAGTACCTACTAAATAGTATATGTGGATAGGTTATGGTAATCATAACTTCCTATTGTTTTAATATTAAATCTATAAGTGTAATAATGACAAAATAGATATAATAAATGTTAATAACTCTGTATGAAGTACTTTTCTATCGAATACATTACATACATACAGTTTCAATTTACCATATTTTATACACCGGATCTTTTTGGATTCTATAGATGTTTAAATTCACTTAAAATTTCTTATTAAAATTCACTTATTCATTCAAAAAAGAATAATTATAATATTCATGTATTACAACCATGGGCTCCATAAAATATTATTACGATTATTTTTAAAAGAATTAAATGCTCTTTACATGTTTTTTATCCAGTCAACTGACCTTCCCACTCGAATGCTAACGATAAAATATATATAAGTTTGATTTTTTTTTTTTTATACCTGCAAATGTGTTAAATATAATTATAGAGCCCGAATGAAATATTTTGATAGTCAAGTTTTTTCCGGATCAAATGTCACTACTAAATACCATCATGTAAATTACGCGAACAAAATACAACAAAACTATGTAGAAGTCTGTGCACGAATGAGCGGATAACGACGGGTCCGTTGTTGGCGAAACAAATAAAATAATTTTAATTTATTCATGTAGTTACATTTATAGCCGGGCCATTTTTAAAAATATGACTGCAGTCGCTATCATACATTTACATACGTAAACTATAATTTTAAATAATATATAATGTTATATTGCACAAATTGTGAACGATTTTTTTTTTAATAAATATATACTCCGGTCAAAATAAACGAATAGGATTACAGTGACTTCACATTATAAAAGATTTCTTGGATCGCAATATTTTAAAATATTAATTTTTATTATTAATAAAGTAATTATATTAAACTGTCTATTGTTTTGGACTTCTAAAGTATTACTTAAATTATTAATTAATATATTTTACAATGAAATATCTTAAGTTTATTATATTTGAATTTATAAATCGTAAGTAGTAACTAAAAACTATACATGTAAAAATAAAATTATTAAATATATGTTATTTTTTATAATCTATAATATTTTTACTTACGCGAAATATTTTCTTCACTATGGAAATATTACCGGACATGGTAGCAATCATTAAAGGTGTTTGTTTATCATTGTTGGTAGCAAATAAAGTAGTTGGGTCTAATTCTATTATGCGATCGATTAGATTTTCGTTTCCATAATAGCAAGCATACATTAGGCAAGTCCATCCTTTTTTATTGGCAGTGTTTAAATTTTTGCTAGAAAATATATTCAATTTTTTGTCATTAGGCAAAAACAAAAAATTTTTACTACCTACTCGTTTTTAATAATATATTTAAAGTTAGTAACAATATCATTCAATTTTAAGTAGCACTTATAATTAATAAGGGATAATTATTATAAAATGAGAACATTATTAATTGTTATGGATTGTACACTATTGTATTGTACTATCTTGAGGATGTTAATTGATAAATTTTTTATATTATATTTTTATTATCGTTTATTGAACAATATATAACCGATGTGTAATTTGTTGACGAAATTTTGGTTGTGTTAAGCTAAATAATTTTTTTTTTGAATTACATTATACTTACAGTTTTTTTGTTGAATAGCAATATTAATATATCATTGTATTCTAACATAAACATACTTGAAGGAAAAATGTATTTTCAGAAAACTATTTTGTTTTAAAATATACAATTTCAGCATATTATGTATACATACTTGTGTATGAAGTATAAAGTAAAAAATATGTTGGTTTTTTTAAATACAAGAATAATATTTAATATCATCAATTATAATTTAAATTCAAAATATAGCTTATGCAATAGAAAAATATAATATTTCTAGTTGTAAACATGATGGGAGTGTTATGTCTAAGAAGGGATGGCTTAAGGCTGATAGTAGTATATAATTTGTTGTTATAACATTTTTTTTGAATAAAAGTAACATGTATCTATTAAATTACTACTATTTGAATTAACTGTAACAATTATGTTGTCATTCAAGAAAGTGCTGCGGAAAAACTCAATAAACTGTAATTATTTATTTTTATTATTATTATTAATATATATATATATATATATATATATTATTTATTAACAGAATCTACCAACGTATTTAAAACATAGTATTAAATAGAACACTTAGTAAAAAATAGTATATTAAAATAATAACAACAAACATTAATTGAAAGAATCTATACTATATTTTTAAATATAGAAGTTATTTTTAGGCGTATGTTAATTTACAATTTTAAAATTTAATTATATTTAAAAACCAGAAATAAAAACTCAATAATAATTTGTTAAAATAATTCGACTTTAAATAGTAACTTACTATTAAATACATTACAAATATACTAGTGTTAGTGAAACGTTATGTGAGGTCCAGTTGATTTTTTAAGGTGTTGGCTTTCTTTTCACAGGCATATATAATGGATAGAAGTAGATTTTAAAGAATACATTTTTAAAAAATATACTATCGAAATACTATCGAAAAAATAATCGATTTTAATTTTGGTGCAAATTACAATTCCTATTTCTTACTACCTGAGGATGGGGCAAATTACACATGTTGTAAATATTTTGGGTTAATTTTGGTGCAAATTGACTACAGCCGTGGTTTTAGGCCGATTTTCTAAGAGCCTACAAACAAAATTACAAATATTTAAAAACTTTTTATTTGAACAATTTTTATTTTATTTTTTAATAAAACTGTAAGTGCATACCATAAAAAATGATTGTGCTGTACGATAAATGATTTTCTTAAGGTCTCAAATCAAAAGATTTTCGATTTGAGGACAGCAAGTTGTGTAAGTTGTGTATTGTCTTATTAAATAGTATCATTATCACTGTCATCATAATGGAAAAGGCCCGAAATAACCATAAATTATTATTTATTATTATTATATTATTCTAATATATATTAATATCTAATATGGCTCTCATTGTTATTTTATTTCTTACGTAAAAAAAATTAATCATCTGAATAATATTTAAAATTATTTAAAATTGTATTATTAAAGATTGAATCAAGAAAATGGCAATGAAAATGAAAAAATGCCAAAAATTGCATAACATTGCAGTACATTTTTTTAGATATTAATTCGTACTTGTATGGAACCTACTTAGGAATAAATCCTATGGTGGAAACTACTATAATATATTAATGGCGATTCAGGGTTTTATTCACGTTACGAGGTTTTGGGTTCACATACTGAGTATAATCCCATTTGCAACAGTATCAAGGTTTGTATAAAAACTAGGTTAAGCTTAGAATATAATTCCCCTTGGGGCGGAGCCCCATACCCCCAAAAAATTCCACGCAGTGGCACTCGAGTTGGTGTATGGATCCGGCAGGCGTAGTGAGCGAAGTCCTAAATTTTAAAAAAAAAATTCCGATTTTTCGAAAAAAAAATGCAAACAATTTTCGTTTCGATAAGAGATCAAAACTAGATACAAAATATCGTTCTCTTTTATATTAATATTTTAATAATTATTGACAAAAATTGTACATAATTATTTTATTATTTTAAATTTATTATATAAATTTTTGTTTTGGTCGAAAAGGGAATCAGTATATTTTAAATTTGGTCGAAAAGTGAATCGGCCGAAAAGGGAAGGGTACGATTTTGGTTGCAGAATTAGGTTTTATGTGGTTAGCACAGATAACGCCTCCTCTAAAATTTGTAATTATCAATATTATTAATATTACTAAAATGTCATTATAAACGTTATCAATGCATGTTCTTGTGAGATTTTCGAAAATAAAATCCATTACATAAATCTTCAACATTAAATCTAATTTTTTTCTTCTTTTTAACAGTAAAAAAGATAATTAGTAAATATTTCCACATACTAATTAAAATAACAATGGATTATGTGCTATAAAAAAGTGGTTTTCAATCTGGGGGTTGCGACCCTCTTAAGAGTCACAAAAGATTGTTTAAGGGTGCTAAGAAATAATTAACAAATGGCTATTTATATTAAAATGTATTAATTTAATCTAATTATTATGAATGTACAAAAACATATCGAATAAAATAGCGTGTAGCGTAATCTTATCTGACGACAGATTATTAACTAATAAGTATACTAATTATAAACGATTCTTAATTGGATTGGCATTTAATATCTGGTTATTTTTACACTCCTACCATACATGTGTAATTCAATAATTTTAGTCACAAAATAATATTTAATAATAAGTTTGGTTATAAAACCAGATTTATGAGTTTTAAATTTTCTAAAATTCAAACACAAGTTTCCCATTACAACAAAAAAGTTATTAAATAAAAAAAAAAATACAGACATAGTAAACAAAGTATACTATTATACTAGTTTAGTTTATGATAAGCGTAAATAAAAATCATAATAATTTTTTTAAATCTGTTTCTGATAAACTTGATGGTTATTATCTTTTACAATTTTATAGAACATTTTTTTATAATTTTTTAATTTCAAAAAAATTTACTAGGAAAAAATGAAAAGATCAATGACAAAGAATCTTTTGAAACACGGTTATCATTTTTCTTCCACGCTTTCAATAGACACTGATTTACATATTGTACATTTATTTTATTCTCTTATACTATTTTATATATGCATATATAGACTAGTATTGTGACATAAGCCTAAAACTAAGTTAAATACTTTACTAAACACAGAAATACAATAAATAGTTGGTACTATTAATAGATAATTTAAAATAACTTTATAAGAAATAATATTGTATGAGACTCGATTAAAAATTAAAACATGTTCTATTGGAGATGTTTGAGCTATATTATCCAATTTTGATAACTTGAAATTATGGTTGAAATTTTAAAAATTATAGTTTTAAGGTCTCAAGGATCATAAAAAATAAATATATTTATATAAAATAGGTACATTTTGATCAAATGTTCGAAAATTTTTTTAAGCAACAGTATTAATAAAATTAATACAATTTATTACTTAAAATAAGGTAACTTTTGATTTTTGATAAAAATATTCTATATATTATAGGTCGAATGAGTGGAAAATAGGTTAATTATTAATGATTAATAATTAAAATTTATCGATAAAGAATAATTAAGAATTCTCAGATAAACGTATAATTGAAATTATATAAAATTAGTTTTAAATTTTACCGTTGGTTTTCTTTTCGCATGTTGACTTACGCATGTTGATAAGTTTTCTGATATGCCACTGCTTCTACCTAACTCAATGTGTTCTAAATCATTTAATCCAAACCCAAACAAAAAAATCTGCCACAGAAACTTACACGAAGGGAGTGGATATGACATTCATGATAAAAAAAAATTAAAAGTTAATGTTTTGTATATTTAGACTATTAACTATCGAAAATAACATTTTAATATAATTTATTTTAATAGTTATCGAAGTTAGATATTATAATTTGATTATCGACCAATATATAAGCTGCAATATATACGCCTAAATATTAATACATACATTAATAGTTATAAATTTTAATCTTTGGTCAAGTATTTATATCGATAATATAATACACAGTATACATATTATATGGTTGAAACCTGTAAATTTCTGAAGTATGCATTTAATGTGAACATGTTATTATATACATTTTGTAGCAAGATTCGATCTCTACACCACTAATCGTTATAAACATTATTAAATTATGATAATTACGCCTACACTGTTCATAATGTTATTCATGTAATTGGTTTTATTGTCACAAAAAAAAAAAAAAACTAAAATCAGTATCAAAAACCGATACATATTCGTGTTATAAATAACTATATTGTATGTGTGTAAAATTGTAAACTGCATCAACCCACAGGCAGAACAAGCAAGTAAAAAAAAATGCATAAAATAAAGCTTACTACTAAAAGCCGGGGGCATGATTGTACTCTCTGCTTGCCTTCTCCCTAATTTAGATTACTGCCCTTGGACGTTGGAATGCAGTGGGAGATAATCGGAATGCTGCAAACCCCAACTGTGCAAAATGGTTTGATAAAAATTGAAGAATATTGTATTTTATAAATTCGTGTAAAATCAGGAATTATAAATGATTTATAATTTTTTCATTGAACACAATGAAAATGATAAAAAAAAAATAAAAAAAAAAAACATTAAAATCCTAGCAATATATTACTCTTATTAATTTAATATTATTTATTCTATTCCATTATAAAACATAATTATTATCAGAATTGTTATTTTTATTAGGAATAAATTCTTAAGATTTTTTTTTTTTTGTTATCTATACATTATTTTATACATTATATTTTATCTAATACAATATGATGATTTGTTTCCAATTTAAATCAATATAAAACGATTCTATAAAGAAATAATAACATTTTATACTAATCATAATAAGCTTAATGGTTCATGCTAACTTAGTAAAAATATATTCAATCAGTATAAAAAAAAACTTTAATGTTTTTAAAAAAATAAAATACTATTAATGTCATTTGGCTATTGAAGGTTTTATACCTCCATAAAAGTTGACAGATCAATGTCACGTCGTTTACAATAAAAGGAAAATAATAGAATTACTTCATTGGTAACAATAGTTTTAAACAATTAACAGTATGATAATACAGAATATATGAAATTATATATTTAAATATTTCATATATTCTGTGATGACATGTTTGAAAAATCAACATTCAAACAAAACGATTCATTTTATAGTTCTTTATTTCTTTTCACTATTGATAAGTAATTTATAGTTATAACTTATATAAATTTAATAACTAATAGCTCATGAGTTATGGTTAAAAAATAATTAAATTATGATCAACAATGAGTGAAACACAATGAAATCCAATCGAAAATTTTGGATTTCTATTTCATCGAATGTAAGATAGAAATTAAATAATAATAATTAAAAAGTAATTTAATAAGTAGTTTAAAACGTCTATAAATAATAAGAATCCTGAAGTAGGTAAAGTATAGTTGAAGATATCAACAAGTATTTAAAAAATTACTTTCAGCTGATGTTTTATCCTTTACTGATGATAATGATTTTTAATTATTCTTCCATAATATATAATATATACATATAAAATATTTTGCAGTTAATAATAATGCTAAAGATTGTTTGTACCTAATAATTATTATTTTCGGATACATCTACTGTAATAAAAACTTAACTTTGGGGAATGGTTGAAACTATTTAATTTTGGAATCTTCTAATTGCATTAAATCAGGGCATAAAGTACTTATATAACCATACTATAAATCACTATAAAACCAAATATCTTATTTTGACTAAAACGATACACGCCTATAATTAGTATAATATAAGAAAAAACAATATTGGATTTCATAAAATGTAATCTAGTAAGTAGTAAGTATCATGTAAGTTTCGTGTTAAACTGTAAATAGTTCAACGCGTTCAACGGAAAGGCTTCCTTGTATTTTTATACGTACCCGTTATGAAAAAAAAAAAAAATGAAAAATAAAGCCCTTTCTGAAATGTAACTTAATCTCCGTCTATAATTATAATTGTCTAGGCAATTTTAAATTATTAACATCTAAATACAACAATATCACAGATGGGTTTTTTCAGTTAGGTTCAGTTAGGTTTTTTCAGTTAAAACACCAACGTGCTGGTGTTTTATATAATAGATACCATGGTGGTAACTTCACGTATATATTAAGCACGTGATAATTTTGTAGTATATTAATGTACTATAAAATAATATGTTTAATTTAATTAATTTTATGGAATTAGTAAGACATTGATTTTTTTACTGTACAACAAAAACTACTATTTATCTCAGACGTTTTCATTCATCCAACTCGAGAGTAAAAACTTTATTTAGATGGATGTAATATAAAACGATTGTCATATTACCGATATAGGTACTAGTATCATTGATGTTAATACCATTATATACACACATTTATTACTGTTATTACGGAAGAACTGTCATTCGTAAGTAAAACATGATGTGGTCCTGTTTTTTTTTTTTTTATTATTATTATTATTATTCGAAGGGGTATAATCAAATTAATGGTCAATGGTAGTTTCAGATGTTTAATACAGAGATAGTTGTGTTTATGTTAAATGGTACGTTCAAGTAGGTATACCTACCACGGGCATAACTGATCATAACCATTAACCGATCATAACCGATCGGAGCGTACTATTATACTCGTGTACATTTTGACGGTGCAGGCGACCGTACGCAGATCGCAATAAAGATAAAACATACTAAACGTAGACAACTATTGACTGAATATTTTTGAATAGAAACGTACGATGATAATCGTCCGAAAACAATTCTATTGACCGCAGCTGTGTTTAAAATAATTAAATGTAATCATTACCTTAGCATGTCAGTCACCTTTGGGTGATTTAGTGTACAAGCCGTGTACAAGTCCATGGTGTATTGTGTGCTTTAGAATCGAATAAATATTCGACTAGATTGTCAAGAGGAAGAAATTAATATCAAAAAAACTTTGTTGCGCACGGCGTAAACCTCGGGAAAACGAACACGCTGAAAATGTTCGTGTTGTTATCGTACCAAACACAATTCCGACGAACGAGCGGAGTGTGCACGCGCTTGTGTCAGTCGTGTAGCATATTGTTGTTCGCATCACGATTCACGGTGAACTATCAATCAACACGGTAATACTGTTAATATAAGTAATATCTTATCTTTATTTACCGATGTTCAAATACTCAATTGGTATTTTGTTTAGACAATTTATTTCTGTCTACCATTTTTGTAATGTTTTTCTCATTTTCTTTTCCCCTCCTTCCGCGATTGTTGTTTAAGCCGCGACCGGTCGTGTCACACTAATTATCTGCTCTTTGCCGCACGACGCGATTCGATAATTAGGATCGATCCCCATGCGGAAAATTTTGTTAATTTTGGATACATTTTTTTCCTTCGTTTATTATATTTTTCTGTGTATATTGTGTTGCGCACGACTTCTTTTTTACATAAATAATTGCTCGGGGAATGTTTAAAAGAAATATCTCAGTACTACAGCATTACATCTTATATGATCAACGTAGTTTACGCTGTAATATAGCGCGACTGCTGTAAAAATATTCCCTGTGCGCTTCAATAGACATTCTACCACCTTGGGTTCTTGAGAATGTTAGGGTAGAATTGTGTAGTATACATCGCAGAGGGGATTACGTTTGACCCATACCGAAAGGTTCGTGTCTGTGACGAATTCGGATTTTCAATACTTATGTTTTTTTTTCCGTCACGGAATATTCTATGAGAGTAAATTTTTATTCCACTTTCCGTTCCAGTCAAAGCCGACCAAAAGGTTTTACATTTAAAATTTAAATTTTTAAATAATGCATTGTTGTAAGTTGTAACCATTAAACTGTAAAAATTGTACACTTAAGTGTATTTTACTTTTCATTGGTAAAAAATAAAAAGATACACTTCGTATATATATAAGGAAATAATGTATCCTTTAATTGAATTAGCTTTGTTAATTATTATCGAGTTATTACAACCTAATTAAAACGTAAGTATTTAAAAGAAATTTCAAAAGTGAAATAAAATTAAAAGACAAATGTAATACAATATAACATTGTATTTATATTTTAATTTTATAACCATGTGGTGCATAATGTATTGTATTTTTATTTTTGGTTATATTAATTAACTTTAAATACAAAAATACCTGCATTTCGTATCGAGACTAGTGAATATAGTTATGTTATATGAGTTCTAAGAGTTATGGCAGAGAATATGAGTATGCGATTTATAAGATTTAATAAAAGTTTTTTGGCAGATATTACAGGAGTAACCGAATTGGTTCCCGTTTGTGTGTAGGTAAGATAGTGACCATTTTAATTTTTAACACAATTTACCTATACTATAAAAAATTAAAATTCAACGGGCCTGTGCATAGAGGGCAAAAAAAAATGTAAAAAGCTACATTTATGATATATAGACACAATTATTATATCGATAAGATAAAGTATAGAAATATAATAGACTAAAGATTACTAGAGACTAGCAAATTACAAGCAAACAAGAAAGAAATAACAAATACATGGAAAATTATATGACTGAGTACATTAATGAGAAGATTACGAGAATTGAATATTTAAAGAAATTTAGCTTAAAATTTGCAAATCAGTGGTTTTAAATTGTATTAATTATATTTTATTATTTGTATTTCGTACACCTAAGTGATAACTAGTTGACTTCCAAATCAACGATTTAAAATTGTTTATATTTTATCATTTTTTTTTAACACACATTAAATTAGAACCAATTCGGCTATAGGTACCTAATAAAATACCTTTTTCAGACGGGAACCAACTCGGCACGTAGGGTTGGAGCTCGGGGACCAATTCGGTACCAACCAATATTACAATGCAACAATACATACCGGTCATAGGTATACAATCAAAATCGGATATCGAATTCAGCAAAAATCAATTAATAAAATTGTGTATCATTTTATTTTCAACTTTGCGGAATATTCACAATATAGTCTAATTTCCAAACCATTGCCATAATATTTCATAACATGACCTACTAGGGTTGCGATAATTTTATTTTTTCAAAATACTTATACTGGGTTATTCATATAAATTTTAGGGTAGATAACCGGTAGCATATTATTATAAACATGTTATGATATTTGATAGTGAGAGTTCTGAGAATATTAGAAAAATTATAGTATTAAATATCTACCTATATCATACAAGTACATTAATTACTGTTTAAATTAAAATTCGATTTGAAATATAATTTGTTTGTTATAAACAAAATCTAAATATTTCTTAATATATGTATGCGAAATACTTGGGCGGATTTGAATAAGTTACTGACCATTTTATTGAAAATAATTGCTACAAGTACATATTAAAAAAGTGTGTATAAAAATAAAATAAATGTTTTTTCGTATGTTTAATTTTGAAAATTATGTATTCAGGAATTTCTATGATGTTTAACAACAGTGCCTATGGGCTACGACTAAGACCTTGTTTCCGCGTGTATTTTTATTGGATATGCTTTTATTTTATTCATTGTATTTTTGAAACGCGTTATCGAAATGGACTTGTGAAAATGTAATTTTTATAATAAAAAATAGAATAATTAAATTAAACATGTACCTATATTTTTTATTTAATTATAATATTAAATACAGAAACATAAGTGTTTTTGATTTGTTAATTATTAAATTAAAAATTCAAAATCCATAAAATTTTATTTTTTAATAAATATGCATTTTCGAAGCTAAATGTTTTCATTAATGCGAACCACAGATTTGTTAACTTAGAGGCTACAGGATAACAAAAAATAGTCCATATTATTTTTACTCTGTATTAATGGTTAAAAATTGCCTATTTGCTCACAAAAATATTAATTGTTAATTTTGGCGTCAATCAGGTATAATTTAATCAATGTGATCAGTTTAATTGTATAATGTTATGTTGCTGAAAATTGTATTGCTATTCGAAGATTTGATCAGTTAAGTTATTACCTATCAGTTATATTAATTTGTTTCCATTAACTAGGAATGTTTACGATGGAGAATTTAAACAATTAATATTCACACTGAAACCGTGTTAAAGTAATGAATCATATTTTCGTTACTGGTTACTTTTAATTTAATAACAATTTTAATGGTTGTTTATAGTTAACTATGAAAGATGAAATATGATTAAACTTGTTATAAGTATTAGGTACCCAACAAATCTCGACAACAGACTTCAACGTCTTATGGTTGATATTTTATTATTAACATCAATAGATATATTATTATATTATATAATTTATATAATTAATAATTAATATTTTTATAACGTTATAGTTAATTATTAACTATCGAGGATGGAATTATTTTTTATTCCTTTTTCACATTTTTGCATGACGAAAATATTATTTTATCTACTTTAAAATAGAAACTGAGTTTAATTTTCAATTTTAATTAATTTAATTAAATAAATATTTAAAATTTAGAGTATATAAAAATATTTATTATAAGCCCAAACGAATTGTTTAAAACTGTTAAATAAATTATAATATAATGTAACTATAATATGTAATAATTGTATTCTAATGGCTGAAAGTGTTAAATGTGTGTATTTAATTATTTTATAAAATTTAACATAAGAAACTATTGTAGAAACATTTAATTAATGGGATGAAGTGGTTTCATTTATTTATTTTTTCGTGTAAATATAATTAGTTCAGAAATCCGTAATTGGTGGCGATATTTGACTAATATGTGCTATGGTTTTTCAACATTCTTCTTTTTAAACAATATTAATAGTTTGTTACCATAATCGTTAAAAGTAGTGATATTAACATTTTGGAAAAAAAAGATCGTATTTTCAAAGTTTACATTCAACACATGCGGTATCATACTTATGTGTTTAAACATTTTCAATGACAGCAAATCCTTATGTGATATTAATTATCAAGTTACTGCAGTTCGATAGATTGTTACAAATAACAAATCTTCCGACACGCGGAACTACAACACAATAGTCTATTAAGAAGATATAAAGATAAGATATTTTGATATTGGTACTATGGCCATTTGGCGGAATTTATCGGTTTCTGTAATTTTTTATTTCAATTGCTTCAAGCATGTTTCCAGACACTATTTGGTTGTGTTATAATAATGTCTTTCCAATGATAACGCCCACATTTTATCATGGGATCCGGTCGTTCTGTCAAAAACGCACCAGAGTAACGAGTATGTTCCGATAGAGAGCCGTGTCTCGTGTAGTAAAACGGCAAAATAGCATATTATTATACTCAATCACTCACTGTGGCCGTACAGTATATTATAATAAAACACTAAGCCAAACTCTTTGTTTCAATTATACAGGTTAGGTCAAACGCGATTCTTAACTGTAAATATTAATATATATGTACGTATGTACATCGATTTGTTTTCTCTCTATGATTTATATACTGGATCATTCACGTATATGTATGGAATTTAAATCAAAGTACACGACATACCTATGTACGTTTATTGGCTTAGTTTTAAATATATTATCATTAAATGTATTTACCTACAAAAAAATATTATTACGAACAACCCAATAATAGGATTGGGAAAACGTCTTGTGTAAATTTATGTATGTCAGTGTTTGTGAAATATCGAAAATTCAGTTTTATAGAATTGTATATAATACATATACATAATATAATAATATTAAAATAGTGTGCGCTCAGTTGTTAGAAGAAAACACATCACAACGGCTGCATCCGAGTTCCGTCCCAAAAATAAAAATGTAATTTAAAAATATACTAGATCCGTCCCGGGTTTTTTAAATAGATATACCAATTCCGTCCCGTGTCAAATTGAATAAATGATAATATCATATTATTTAGAAATAAAGATAATGAAGATAACATTATTTCAGCTATTGAACCAAATAAACTTTTCAGTCGTTATTTGTGCATGTCCATGCCATTTAATATATATATATATATATATATATATAAATGAATAGTATACAATATATATAGAGTGAAAAAGATAAAATTTTAATTATTAAAAATTAATTTAAATTTTGTTTTCACAAAGAAACAAGCAATAATATTAAACGATGGAAGTGTATTCAAAAACAATGCAAAGTATATATAAAAATTGGTATGAAAACTAAATTTGTTATAATTAAAGATCAGGTTTTTAGGTTCTTAAAAGCTTAAAATATGATGCTAATGTTCTAAAAATAACTTATGAAAATGTAAATAATATGAATACTTATTTTTTTTTTAATGCATTTTATAACATAAATTATTATACAAAATATTAAGTCTGGATTATAAAAAAAATTAAGGACGGAATTAGTATATACCTTTTTTTTAACTGGGACGGAATTGGTATATACCTTTTTTTAAATAGAGATGGAATTGGTATATACCTTTTTTTAAATAGAGATGGAATTGGTGTAAAAAAAGGTTCATGAGACGGAACTCGGATGCATCCATCAGAACTAATCGATATGTTACTAAATTGAAAGTTGAATGTACTATAGTTATTATATAAGTGAGATGGTATTTATAATTTTTTCAACATTTTTAAACCACATAATGCAACAGTGAGGTATATCATTTAGTTATATTTTAAATCATAGTATAAAAAAAAATTTAAATCAGATATCCGTACGTATAAATACACCGTACGTTCAATTTGATATTATGTCAGTCAAAATTTATCAATTAAAATGGCTCTGTGCGTTTGTAAATTTGCCATGATTGGCGTGTAAATTCATATGGAAAGTAGATATAAAACATTTTCATACGACCTCCCATCATATTCGTCTAAATTCCGAATTATCAACATTTATCTCATAAAATAAATATGCGTAATGTATTAATATGTTTAATTTACGGTTTATGTTTTTGTTATGAAGTATTACAGTGGTAAACAATTATCATTATTATTATTATTGGTAATGTATTACGTACAAACTATCTAATACTTTATGTTGAATCATTGTTCATTTTGTTTTGACTTTTGACTATGTCAATACATAATAAACACATAAATAACATGGCATGGCTTAATGAAGATTATTTCAATAATACATTTTTTTAATGAAGAATGCAATTCGTAGGCTTAACTTGTTTATTGTACATTTTACATCAAGAATTATTTTGAACTTATGATTTTACATATAATGTTAAAACTATATTTATGTTTTTTTTTAATATAATTTAACATTGTATTTCAGTTATATCAATAATACGTTTAATATACAGCTATGCCTACTAGTCATAATAATTTAAATTCAAATCGTGTTAAACAGTAAGCAGTTCAAATTATTTGTCATTAATATACAATACTGATTTGTACAATATACATTTATTTTAACATTCGTGTAGGTATTTTAAATAGTGTCAAACGTTTGGTTCGTAACACATGTCTGATAATGTTTTATTCGAACTATAAGTGAAACTATGTATTTTCGGAAATACGGTGACAATATCATGCTTGTCAATCAGTAAGTGTGAGTCGAACATCTTCCTTCGATGTTCACGCCGGGGCAAGATAAAAGAATTACCTACCTACAATAATAGCGGTCTTCTGAAAATCGTATCGAATAGAGGGAAATATTTGAATTAATCTCGTGTGTTCACCCGGGATGAGCACATGTTTGTGCAGTTAAACATATTTTTATTTAAATGTGTATCTTTTGTGATGGCATCGTCCGTAATACAGACTACGTTTTATATTCGAATACGTATAGGTATGTACGCGTGTATATTTATTTTTACATTAAAAAATAATGAAATCAATTACAATGCGAAAAATGCAAAGCTTACAGTGTATGTGTTTAAACATTTTTTTTTTACATTTCTTTGGAAGCGGGGAAAATTTAGTCTACTCGTTAAAATGAGAAACTAATAAATAATCGAAACGATTAACTCTAAAATGTTTGTACGACGGTACTTAACCGGTCACGTGTAGATACCGAATACCAGATGAACAAATGAACAAACGAGTCTCGTACAAAAGGTTAGATGTTGAATTTCCAAACACTCGTTACAGCCTACGTTGTTGTAGCACACTACACGTCGCAATACGGTCACACGTTTTCCTATTACTCCGGCACCTCCAGGTAGTACTACTTCGTATTGTTTTCACGATACATCTGATACGTGCATTATATTTTATGTATAAGTGTTTTGGTGCACCAATAACTAAACGGGTGCAAGACGAAATCGATTGGATTTTCATTTGTAAATAATGTCTACGTTTATGAAATGTATCTTAAAAAAATATGACCATTTCGATTAAAAGTTTTATAAATATTGGAAGATCATGCGGTTATTATCCTTGGGTATAAATATTTATACGTGTAGTTAAGAAAACAATATGATTTATAATATAATATATGTATTTATACTGTACAGTATATTAATTACCTAATATATGTTCGAATAATTATAATGTTAATGAAATATTTCTTGATAATGTCGAATATAATCGTTGACGGTCGATGGAATGTAATTTTGTTTGAAATCCATTTAATTATACATTTTTGAATCTTATGGAGGTTAATGTGTGAATCGCAGTGAAATCGATAATAAGCAGCAAGTGCCAAATATGGTATTCGAATAACATTAAAAAACAAACAAGAATATATGTTGGAGAAACGAGAAGAAAACAATATATTGTACGTTTGATGTTAATATTATTCTGAAACACCACTTAGAAGCGGGTAAACGATTCATTCGCAAATAATGAACGGAATGTAATCATAAAAACGAAAATGCATTAAATGATCATAATACGCAAAGTGTGATGTTAAAGTAACGGGTACGAACGCTTTTCTGCACACTCGCTATATTATAAATAGGCACGCGTTTTGAAAACATGACTGAATCTAATACGAAAAATTCATTTTTCAGTAGAACTATCCCCCCCCCCGCTGAACACGGGTACGTAAGATACCCGCTTAGTTGTCGTTCGACCGCACGGTATTAAAATAATACAAATCGAGAGTGATTTTTAAATCGATAAAAAAAAAAAAAAAAGAAAGAAAAAAACCAATTAGACGTAACGATATTGCGGCGCACGTCGCCGCGGCGGATACGTATTTGAATACACGGCTTTTCGACGTGGTTACACGGAACGCAAACAATATTATTTCCATCCGTACGCGCGCGTAGCCGATTCCCCGCGCCGCGCGTGCACACCAAATGCCAGACGGACAAATGAGCGAACGGGATACAAATCGTCGTCGGACATTGGATTTTTTCCGACGCTCATCGTGCAACGCGACGGGCGCGGAGGAGAGTCCTTAACCCCGGCGTGCACGCGGCCCCGCGCGCATTTCACTGCGGGTCCCGAACACACTCCGCGCACAACAATATTTATATACGTGCGTACAACGCGCGCATGCATACCCGGGCAGCGCGCGTTCCGTCGCTACCTGACGGACGGACGTCGTGGCGCGCGCGTTTTTTTTCCTTTACTTTTATATCCCCGAAAAATAAGCCGTACCTGCCCCCCCCTGACCGCGCCTGGCGATGTACGGGACACGGAACGATATTGAATAGGAGGCAGGTACCGCAGCAGCAGCCATCTGTCTCGCGTTTGGATGACACATTTGTGTTTTTATTCTCCTCCACAGGAGCGTCGTGTACATAGCCGCCGCGTGCACGGGTCGAGTATGCTGAACACCGTGCAATGAAAAGAGAAAAAGATAAAAGTCCTTGTAATGACGGTCGATGTCTTTTTGATATGTTTTTCGTCTTTGGATAATTCACGCGAAATATTGACCACGTGTATTACGCATGCGTAGTACGTTTAATGAAAAGTCACGCGCGTACACGCGTATTAATAACGAGAAAAAAAAAACGAAAACGTCAATAATTGACGGTTTGGTCGGTGGTTACGGGTAAACGTTTATCGGGTGGCGCGCTGATGGTGGGGGATGGGTCGATCGATTGCGCCGCCGTCAAACGACAGGTGGATCTTTTGTAGACACCGAATTCGGCGCGAGATCATTGTTTTAATATTCGGATTACCGTCTTTGATTTCCGACCGTACACGAAATCCACGCGGCCGCCGTTGCGGATCCTATTTCAACGGTATTTATTCTATCGAACACACACGGCTTATTATGTACAAATACGTGGTCGCCCGGTAGTAGTAACGTACACACGCGATACCGGGCGAGAAACGATGCGCACTGTTTGGTTACGATCGTACGTAGTACGTATTATTTATTGTGTATCGGATACCGAATATTCGAAACAATAATAATCATAACGATAATAACGATGATAATAATAATAATAATAATAAATAGTGCAAGATGACCGGACACAAAGCGCGGACGCACTCGCATGAATGGGAGCGAGCGCGGGCGCGGGCACGGCGAATCCCCCGTCACCGTCATACGCGTACCCGTGTACGTGTATGTGTGTGCGTGCACATACATATTATACGGTATAAGCGATCCGGTGGTGGGCGAGTGGCGAACGGGGTGCAGCCATCTTGAATACCTTCGACTGGAACCCGGCCGTGTATCCGAACACCAGTAAAATACTTGAAGCACCGTAGTCGTCGCAGTCGTCGTCGTTGTCCGACCGGCCGGTGTACACGCACACACGTCCGTATAATACACCTATAACACACACGCACACAAACGCCGCACAGGGCCGGCGGCGGATAATCTTGACAGGTAAAAACGGGCTCTCCGCCGCGGCGTGCGTACGACCGTAACCGGTTGGCGCGCGTAGTGGAGGGCCGGTGGTGGAGGACGCACGGGCTCCGTTGGCGGGCGGCGGGCGACGAGTATGGCTGTGTGGCCGGCGGGGTTAGAGCGTGGAACGCGCGCGCGCGCGCAGAAGGGGGCCGACCGAAAGAATGTTTCCACTTCGGATCCGACTGAGCCGATCGCCGCCGCTGCCGCTGCCGCTGATCCGACCGAGAACCAGTCTTCAGTATACGCACGCACACTCGTCCGTTCCGTTTAGCGTTACGTGCGTAGTACCGACCGCGTGCGCGTGTACACACCGCCCGTCGTCGTAGCGATTTATCCGCCGTGTGTGCGCGTCCGCGTTTTACACCGCTTACACATATCCGGCTGGACGCGTGCGTTATCCGTCCAGACGATATTTATTTATACGAATGTTATTTTCCCGTCTCTCTTGAAATCGTTTTCAAATCCGTATCGATCGCGCGTGAACGTAAATATTTCGCGCCAGCCAAACTCGACGATCCCTAGCCCTCGTGCATGTGTGTTGTAGTGTTTACGCGTTTCGCATCGTATTTTCCGAACCGTAGGGATCGTCATCGTCGTCGTGGTCGTAGTCGCGCGCGCCGTCGCCGTCCATGGATTACGGTAGTGCAGTGAGTGTTGTTCCGGTGCGCGGTGCGTAAGAGACGCGTGTGTGATGACCGGGTGATACCCGTCCAGTGAGCAGCGGTCACCCCGCGCACCATGTTATGGCGCGCCGTAGCGATATGCGCGGCATTGGCGTTCGCCGTGGCAGCCGGTACCGGCGGCGAGGCGGACAGCAACGCACGGGTGCAGCTGGAAGTGTTGGAAGGTCAGCCTCGCGGCACTGCCGTCGGACGGATACCCGTGAAGCCGGGCTTCGTCTACAGGTTCAACGAGCCGTCCGACGAGTTCGCGTTGAACGCGACCACGGGCGAGATAACCACCACGCAGATATTGGACAGGGAGTCGTTGTCCAACGACCGGTACGATCTGATCGTGCTGTCCAGTCAACCCACCTATCCGATCGAGGTGCGTATACTGGTGGTGGACGTTAACGACAACGCGCCCGAGTTCCCGGAACCGGTCATATCGGTGTCTTTTCCGGAGAGCGCGGCACCCGACAACAAAGTGCTATTGGACACGGCAACGGACAGGGACGCGGGCGTCAACGGCGTGTCGTCCGATTATCGGATCGTGGCCGGCAACGTGGACGACAAGTTCCGACTGGAAGTGACGTCCAACCCGGGTGGCGATCTGACGTACTTGTACCTGCGGACCACCGGTAAACTCGACCGGGAGACCGTGCCGTTCTACCAGCTCAACGTGTCGGTTCGGGACGGCGGTGTGCCCACCAGATACGGTTACCAGACGGTGAACGTGACCATACTGGACGTGAACGACAATCCACCGGTGTTCGCGCACACCGATTACAGCGCGTGGCTGAACGAGAGCGCGCCGCCGGGCACGTTCACGCTCCAGGTGACGGCCACGGACGCCGATCTGGGCGAGAACGGTCGGATCGTGTACTATTTACCGGAAACGGCCGAGACCCGATTTCGCGTGGACCCGGACACCGGTGTCATATACACCACGGAGACGCCCGATTGTCCGCAACAGAACTGTCCGCACGCGCAACAGCCGAGGACGTCCTGCCCGAAAAGTTGCGTTTTCACGGTGCACGCACGTGATCACGGTTCGCCCCGGCAGGACGGACGGGCGTACGTGACCGTTAGTCTGATCGACGCCAACGATCACGATCCGATCATCAAATTCCGCTACTTCCCTTCGAACGCGGCGTACGCGACCGTGGACGAGAACGCAATCAACGGTACCGTGGTGGCCGCCGTGTCCGTGATGGACCCGGACGAGGGGCTGAACGGCGAGACGACCGTGGAGATCATCACGGGAAACGAAATGAATCATTTTCGACTGGAATCGTCGCAGAGCTTTTACATCGTTCGGGTGCACGACGTCTTGGACAGGGAGCAGATCAACAAGTATAATCTGACCGTGTTAGCCAGTGACAAAGGGACCCCCGCCAGGACCACCGTGGCGTATCTGTTGATATACGTTAACGACATTAACGACCATGAACCGGTATTCGAGAAGAGCGAGTACTCGTCCACGCTAAGTGAACTGTCACCATTGGGCACGTACGTAGCCAGCATTACGGCCACCGACGAGGATACCGGTATCAATGCGCAGATTTACTACTCCATCGTGTCGGGTAACGATTTCGGTTGGTTTGACATCGATCCGGACACCGGGCTGGTCACGCTCAAAGGGCGTTTGGACCGAGAACAAATGGGCTCGGCCGAAATTAAAATTTCCGCTCGTGACGGCGGTCCTAATCCTAAATGGGCGTACACGCAGTTGAAAGTCATCGTTTTGGACGAAAATGACGAACGCCCGGAGTTCGCGCAGGAATTGATTATTGTTAAAATGTTGGAAAACGTGCCGGAGAATACATTAGTGGCCATGCTGACCGCTTCGGATCACGATCAAGGTACTAATGGTAGCGTATCGTATAGTTTACATCCCGAAGTCCAGTACAAGTACAAAGGTGCGTTCGCACTCGATTCTTTGACCGGACAACTAACTGTTAAAACACAGCTCGACCGGGAAAAAGTATCGGAGTACAAGATTAAAGTATTGGCTAAAGATCAAGGATTCCCGCCCAAATCGTCTACGGCTACCGTCATACTCGACGTACTAGACGTAAACGATAATGACCCCGTTTTCTATCCACAACAGTATATCGCGTTTATTGGGAACAATCAGCTGACGGACACCAGTCTTCTTACGGTTTCAGCGTATGACATCGACGAAGGAGAAAATTCGGTGGTTGAATATCGATTATCAAATGGCGGCGATTCTGGCCTTTTTTACATAGACGCCCGTGAAGGATCAATATATTTAAAGAGCAGTGGAGATCTTCCGAAATCCATATACCACCTAAACGTAACAGCTGTGGATAGGGACGGTCGGCGAGCTGCTGAAGACGCGACCGTAGTAATAATAAAAAATCCCGACGAATCGCTTAAATTCGATACGGTTGAAGGGTATTCGTTTCAGATTTACGAAGATCATATAGGTCAAGAAGACCCGGTTTCCAATCGACAAGTGGGCAGAATACGAGTCAAGGAAACTAAAGTCGATGTAACGTATTTCATAATGAACGGTGATAATGGAAATTTTAGAGTGGATCGAAACGGAGTGTTAATGACATGGAGGAAGATCGATCGGGAAAATCAATCGTTTTACAGTATACAAGTTGGTGCGATAGCGGGCGTGAAGTTTGGCACTACTCTGGTGAACGTTACGATTTTGGATGTCAACGACAACGAACCCTCGTTTGTCACCGTAATTGAGGAAGTTGATCTTTACGAAGATACGGCCGTTGGCCAAGAACTGTGCGTAGCCAGGGCTAAGGACAAGGATGTCGGGTTGAACGGCCGGGTAACTTACCGATTAGTATCCAAACCCGACGGTTTGTTTCGTATTACCGAGTCGTCCGGTATCGTGTACCTACATAAGCCGGTATATACAGCCCCGGGCACCGTACTAGCCGCCGAAATCGTGGCCACAGACTCGGGTACCCCCCCACTTAGTGCTAAGCATGTTGTTCTGTTCACCGTTCAAGATGTAAACGACCATACACCTGTATTCGATCAAACCTCGTACGAATCCTCGCTTTCCGAAGCCACCGCTGTAAACAGTAGATTCTTCGGGCTTACAGCTACCGATAAAGATTATGGGCCTAACGCCCGATTATCTTACGCAATTGAAGAAGGCGACGCAGAAGGAGATTTTGGAATTTTTCCCGACGGAATGTTGTACATCAAACACCGTCTGGACAGAGAGAGTAGAGATTATTACGCGCTTTCCGTGGTTGTCAGGGACGCGGGCACACCGGCTCGTAGTTCATCGGTGGTGGCTATTGTGCACGTGACTGACGAGAACGACAACAAACCGGAATTCGCAAATGTCACGTTCGATTTTCACATCAACGAAAATGAACCGGGCGGCACGTTCGTCGGCAAACTATCAGCATCCGATCGGGACACGGGTCGAAACGCCGAACTAACGTACTCCTTGATAAATTGTAAAACGGATTTCTTAATCGATCCGAAAAATGGATTTATCAGGACGCAACGAGAATTCGACAGGGAACAGTTGATCCGGGCCACGGAACAGAATGTTATCACGTTGGAGGCTACAGTATCGGACAACGGCCAGCATTCGCTGTACGACAAGGCCAAGGTGAACGTGTTCGTCAACGATGTGAATGACAACCGGCCACGATTTTTCCGACAACCGTATCGGGTGCAAGTGTCGGAAGGGTCGCCGGTGGGTACACACGTGCTACGAGTGTATACCACTGACGAAGACGATGGACAAAATGGTGCCGTGCACTACGTCATGGAGGATGGAGATGACGGCAAGTTTAAAATTGATAACGCGACCGGTATGATTACGATCAACGCGTTTTTGGACAGGGAGACACGCGCGTCGTACGTGTTGCGCGTCATCGCGTACGACAACGGCGCACCGGTGCGGCTCAACGCTTCGGCCGCGGTATCCGTGGAAGTGTTGGACGACAACGACAATCCGCCCAAGTTCGAATCTCCTCCGTCGGGCATATCGATTTTCGAGAACGCAACCGTCAACACGGAGCTGATCCGTTTCCGGGCCACGGATCCAGATTTGGGCGCGAACAGTGAAGTGAGATACTCCATAGTGTCCGGGAACCGACGAGACACGTTCCACATGGACGTCGTGACCGGTGTGTTGTACCTGCACAAACGGCTCGACTTCGAGGACATAAGTGCGTACGTGTTGAACATTTCCGCGTACGACAACGGCAATCCTAGGCTGTCTTCGGCGCTGTCGTTCCACGTGACCGTTCTGGACTGTAACGACAACCCACCACAATTCCCCAGCACGGCCATTGTGCGGCAAATCGTCGAAAACCTCGAACCGGGCACGTCCATTGTGCACGTGGTCGCCGACGACCCGGATTCCGACCTGAACGGCCTGGTGCACTATTCCATTACCCGGCAACAGCCGGACAACGACAGACGACGTTTCCAGATAAATGAGAAAACTGGCGTGATCAGTACGGTGCTGCCCATTGACCGGGAACAGGTAGACACGTACAGACTGACTGTGACGGCCGTTGACCAGGCCGTGCCACCGGAAACCCGGTTGTCGGCCGAGAAGACGGTGACCATCATAGTGGACGACGAGAACGACAACGCTCCAGTGTTCGTGTCCGTGGACACCGGGCTCGTACGGTCCCGGCAGGCCGGCGCGTTCATCATGTTCGCTACGGCCAGGGACTTGGACACTAGTACGAACGGTCTGGTCACGTACGAGATGGTGGGCGGCGACTCGGAACTGTTTTCCATACACCGGACGACCGGGGCCATCAGCTTGCGGCGTGAGCTCACCCGTCCCGAACGGTTGTACAGGTTGACGGTGCGTGCCACGGACGAGGCGGTGCAGTCGGAACGCAAGTCCACCGACGCGTACATCACCCTGCTGACGGACACCGGGGACAACAGCGGCGGACACAAGCTGACCGGTCTGAAAGAGTTCTACGAGGGGTCCGTATACGAAAACGAGCCTTTGGGCACTAGCGTGCTCAGGATGGACCCGTTGCCCGGGCAAATCGAATATTACGTGGTGAACGTGACCGGGCTCGACGGAAAGCAAGCGGATCGGATGTTTTCCGTGGACGTTAAACTGGGCGTGCTTTACACGGCCGCAGTGCTGGACAGGGAGGGTGGCGCCGACCAGTACGTCGTGCACGTTTATGCTACTAACATCGGATCGCAGACACCGAAAACCGGTCACATTCAGGTATTTTTTTTATTTTTATTTTTTATTATCATTATTATTATTATTTTTATTATTATTATAATTATTATTATTATATTCTACAACTTCTCCTTCTCCCCGTTGTTGTGCTCTTCTATACACAAATACACACACACATATACACAATCGAGTACACATGCACTGCGCGTCTCAACGTCCGAAACTTTATCATTATTGTTATTATTGTTCGCTTACTATATGATTTATTCGATTCGCTGGACTGCAATTAGCTAGGCATTCCGGGTTTCGGTAGACCGCGGCGAGTTCAAAGTGTATCAGCAGTAGTTGACGAGTTATACCTATTCCCGTGGTGTGTGCGCGCGTGTGTGTGTGTGTGTGTGAGCGCTGGCGCGCGCGTGTGTGTGTGGATGGACACAGGGGGTCCGCTGTTGCTGAAGTCATGAATTTTGGTTAGAACAATGGAATGTACGTAACACGCGAACCCGTCTACTGTGCGCAATAAGAGAGTTCGGTACGCTACGTATACATACTCGTATGTATTTATGTATATTCGGAGGGCAGAAGATTTGAGTTGGGACTTAATAGTTTTTATGTCATTTCTCATTATCGGAGTTTTGTCACATACGGCGACTTTTGGTGTGTACTTTGGTTTTATCGAATATCAATTTTTTTCTCTTCTTGTAACGACTTCATAAAATATTTGATTCTTGTCCGTTGCGTAGAAAATTATTTCCATGTTACATTATTTTTGTCACATACAAGCATAATTTGAAAAATATACAAATTTTAGGATTAAAATAAATGAGATTATGTTATAGACGTATAACGGTCCGAAAGAGAACACAATTAGACAAATGCATATCCGTCATAAAAAAGATAAAGAATACGTTTTATTAATAAAATATGATTCACGCCGATAGTATTCTGTAAGGAATTAATTTTTTTTTATCGTCTTCAACTATTATGTATACTTATTTAAATTTTTTTAATCTTAAGTTCGAATTATTTACTTTATGTTTCTTACGTATTAATATATTGTAATAAAAATATTTAAATACAATTTTCTACGAAATCCTTTCTTTTCAATGTCAGACATAAGTTATAGGTACTTTCGGTTTGCTGGGTAGACAAATAACACGTCATAAATATCAATGTCATTATCACGGTTATTGGTCATCTTGATATAAACTACAAACAATTTGCTTACACGATTTACGACCGTGTCGGTGGATTTTTCAGAATTGCAGACCCTTTTAACTGTAATTTGATTAACATAGCACATATAATATATAGATCATGTTCTTATTCACCCGAGAAAAACGTGTTTTTTTTTGACACGGACAAACATGTATATTTTTTACCCTTTTTATCTACTGCTGCCGAAAACGTTAATGCGTCTTAAAAATCGATCTTTTGTATTCTTCGTACATTGAATGAAACTTCCTATCTTGTGTAACGCGTGGTTCCGCCACCTCGTCAATCGTCTGCTCGACGCAAATCCACCTGGATGATTAAATATAAAGCGGACAGCTCAGCCGGCAATATATATATATATATGCATAGCAACGTTGGGATCATTATAATATATTATAATATTTACAAATATTTCAAAACCGGCCTAAGGCACGCTAGAGCAATGGACGTGTAAAATAACTTTGAATATGCATAGCTGACCAACGTCGGCTAATCCTTTGGATAACTGTTCCATTTTATCCGCGTAAACCTGTGTAACTTTAAAATGTCAAGGTTTTAACTGACAGTGCATGTGTGAGTGTGGGACGTTTACATGACGTCTATAAAAAACCATGGAACATATCTTTTAAAGACTAATATTAATTTGGCACGATGTACAAGAATTTATGATTTTATGGTTTTTTTTCTTTTTTTTTTTTATGTTACTAGCTAATAAACTATATAATTTCAAAACCATCGGAAATTAAGTTTACTTTTGAAGAATAATTGTTAACGTTTGTTGATATTTTTAAACTATTTTTTATGTTCAAATAGTGCTATTCCTTTACCTTCATTAATCGTAAAATTTAATAGCATCGTTTATTCCTCCGACTTAAATCCAATCAGATTTGCGGAACATAAAATTTTAATTTACATCGTCGACAAAGAAAACGTCTTGAAAAATTGACTTCATTGACTAACAAATTAGAAAAATGTACGAATACGCGACGTTTATTAAATTATACTACACGACAAATAGGTATATAAAAGGTATTCATATTGTATATATATATATTTCGATAAAACGTAATTTGCCTATTTTTTAGAAGTTAAGTTTTTAAGAAGTTGAATTTAAAATTAAATTAGTTATACTTCAAGTAACTATGGTATAATAGTTGACTGTATACAGATATGTTCATATTGAACATTTATAAAATATCATATTATGTTGAGTTTCTAGTTTACGATCAAAGTACAGTATTTAATATTTATTTTTCTAAGATATTTCATTTAATACTATAAAAGATGACGATTTTTGGGTTTTAATTTGAATATACTACAAAGTAGAATTCTGAAATAGTTATAATCTATGTGAAAATGATTTTAAGGTTGAATTTTGTCACAGGTGTAAAAATGTATTGTAAACCCAATTGTTTATTTGATATATGATATCCGGCCTTTAAAAATGTCGCGGCAACTGGGGGACTGAATGAATTCCCTATTCTATACCAGCTGTGTTCATTCTGCGCAGGTTATGTCGGTAGGTACGTACAAAAAGTAAAATCACAATTCCAATTGTAGCAGATGTTCAATTGAAAAAATTGGCGCGCGCTTAAATGTGATTTTTTTTTTTGTAAATTATTAAATCATAGAAATTCTGTGCTTAATACCCTTTAGGGGTATTTTGCTGTAAAGAGGGGATTATGAGCGTTAACCCCTCAAGCCCCTCCCCGTACGTACGCCCATATTCAAGTTGTCTGTCAATTGCGTAAACTGCCATATTGGAATGCGTATATAACTCGTCAGATAGATATGGTTAAAGTATACTCTCAACATCTGTAAAAAAAACTTTAGTTACGAAGGTGAACAATAAATAGTATCCTCTTATGGATTCAACTATTATTGAATGCAATTCTGAAAGTATAAATGACTTTCTTTTAAGGATTTAAAACACCTTGACATTTTTTACTCTGTTTTTCATTTAAACCCATTATAAATATAACAATTGTGTTTTTTTCGATAAAATTGAACATATATATCATCATATCGTACCTATCGCGTAATTACAATCATGTAATATAATTTCATAGTACCTACCTCGAAAACGGTTTTCGTTTATTATTTTCTATTATTATTAACATTACCTATGCATTTTTTGTATTGCGTTTAATTTACTCTTAAAGAATTATAATAAATTGTCATTTCAAATGTTTTAATAGTTTATTTATAATTTATTTAAATTTTAATAGTTCTTAAGATAATAATTTTTTTTTATCCAGTTACCCGTATAATTATTAGCGTATATTATGATTGTGTTATAGCATAGATACGTGTTAATATAAAACAAATTCCTATCGTTCATTGAATTTATATTATAATTAATAAATATTGTTTAACTATCTATATAATATGATTGGGAATCGATAGACGATTAAAGTAGTTGCGTGTTCATAAAATCTGTACGATAGTCTATAATTCGTTATAGTTTTGATGTTAGTAACGTTTTATAATATAATATATTATTTTATTCCATTATAATGTTTTCATAAAATACATTTTTCTTTCGAAATGTGTAATTTAAAAACTTATTCGATATTATCATTATTAGTGTTGTTGTGTTGTATAAAAAGTAAATTTATAATACCGTGTCGTCTATATAACCATGTTCAATAACGTATTAAGATATCGTTATGCTAATGTGCTCGAGAGTGCTTTGGATAGTTCTCTTTATCGGAATGTCTAATAAAAATCGTTTTAACCATTTGGATTTGTGCAACTATAAATGTAAAATATATTTATTGACAAAACCGGGTTAATTAGGAAAATTACTATACAAAAATTATCGCTTGGCTTTCGGGTAATTTAGAAATTGCGTAATAGTCAGACGTACATCAAGTTTAATATATTAAGTTTATTATTTTTGTGGTTAAACAAGTGAGTTAGAGGTTATAGAAACACGTATAATAATAATAAATTTAAGTTGACAGTTGAAGAATTTTGCATTTTGTTGATTTGTTATGGTATGCGTATATTATACATATATATATTGTATAGAGACAATAGAGGAAATATTTAAAATGTATTACTCATTCGGGTTATTTGATGCTTAAAACCATAAAAAATGTCCAGACACGTGTTCAAAAATGAATTTGTGATCGTTTTCTTTTTTTCTGAAGTTTTTCAGTTTTCCTATGATGTCCTATGTATGTCCACATTACTTCCGTGACTTTTGCTCAACGACAAAATTATTCCGTTTTTCATTTTTAACGACTTGTGATAACATAGAAAAGCGGGGCTAGACGTTGATTTTAATCGCAAGGAGTTGAATTGATTCAACATTTTGGACACGCCCACATTCTCACGATAGCGTCTGAATAATATTTCCTTTTTCTTGCTCCCCATTGGCGGACACGGTACGCTACAAACCGCAAATACGCCTAAAGGTACCGATTTCAAAGTTATAACAGGACCACGGTACACCGTTGAATGTGCATACGTTTATTTTGGTTTTATATACTATACGGTGATCGTCAAAAAACTGTGGTTAATCATCATAATTAATAGAACAATAATTGTATGGGTTCGTATCGGTTGGCCATTAAATAATATTATAATACCAGCGGCATGCAGTTTTTGCATTATTGTGGTTTTTATTTGATATGCACAACCATCTACTGACTTTTTCGCGCACACGTATACACACACATACGCATACACACAGCTTCATATTATATCGGTTATTGAAATTAAATCAAGTGACAATAATTGGCATACAAAAATAGTGACCGCTATACGTATGAGAGAAGGAAAATCCCGTTGGAGGTATTTTGCCTATTGGATAATGGGTTCCTGTTACAATGATGAATATTTCATACGTAGTACACTCACCCGCAAACACAAACGCGTATGCATGTACAAGTATATGTATGTTTATACTTTCATTGTCCGCGGTAAGAAAAAAAAAAAAATTAGAAAATAAAGGCAACTGTCATTGTAGATAATACAATACTCTAATATAAACAATGAACCAAACGTGTGTGGGTTATTGTAGTAAAATTAATATTTGACGATATCTTAATAATATGTTTACCGATACATGGTAGTACCTATATTATATACGTACATCTGTTATAGTACATGCAGTACTAGTAAATTGCGTGGGCAGCGTGAACGTACAACTAATTCCGGGTACGTTGTATAATAATATGCAGCGCATACTTGCATTTGTCGTGTATACAATTTCTTTGAGTTATAGTACTACGTTTTAATTTATATTATTATGATTTAAACGAACGTAACACTATTTGTTATTTTAATTTTTATTACTTCAATGGGGTTCTTAATTTTGTTCCATATACCACGATGATGATATATGCTATTTATAAAATATTTTTTAAAACTACGGCAAAAAAATTAGATTTTGTTGAAAACAGATGTCCCGTAAATGTTAGTTTTTTTTCTTCAAATTTTTTTCATGATAACTTTTATTATAGTTTTAATCAATTATGTGGAAAATTGTTTCTGATCAAAAACCATCCCTCTTTATGATGATTATAGCCTTCAGGTCGAAATCATTTAGACAGGCACGAAAAATATAAATAAAACACATCACGGTTAGACCAAGCTTCACTTTGAATCTTCCTATTTAAAATATTTAATATTATAACCAAATACTTAATTTTTTCATTATTAGATTGCAAGTGTTAAATTTTACTTAAACTTATTTTAGTGATCATTCTTACAGCTCGTATACATTACTTACACGTATCGTATATTTATTATATTAATATGCTTCTAAATTTTAACATTCCAAATATGTATTTCGTATCGACGTAAAAGTATATTCTTATGTGGTATAAAAATAATATATGAATACAAATGATTTGTTATGTTTTTGATTTTTACTTCTTATGATATTATAAAATATATATAGGTTTATTTGATACAAAATATTAAATAATTAATAATATACAATTTAAGAAACAATTAGAAAACATACATTGTGCGTTATAGGTATATTCATTATGTTAACTTCAAACACGTATGTTTAATTTAAATATTTTGTTTTCAAAACCACCCGGTTTAAAGTTTATACTACATACTATTAAACATATTTATATGTATTTATATTATGTAGATGTTGTAATGAAATAGTAATTGGACCACAGAGTCTACTGCAGCTAGCTTTGCATGCGGTTGCGTTATAAAATCATAAATATATATCAAAATATATCCGTTTAAAACTCATCTAGATTAAAATCGAATACAACATTTTATTTACTACACTATACTTAATATGAAATTATTATACACTAAACAACGTTTGAAATTAGTAGATAGTGTGTTCAAAATATGATTTTTTCTTTCGTACGCGTAGGCTTGATTCTTTGAGCAGATGTGTACAGCGAGTGATGTATTTCGTCGATGCATGAGACTGTATAATTTGTTTTTGTAAGCAACCGTATTTTTCATTAATTCCAGAAGCACTTTTACACAATCAAATAACCATTAATATTTAATAGCTCTTTTAACTATATCACTTGATTTCTTGATTGTTTTTTAATAGTACTAGCTCGTTACTATATTATAATACCTGGAGAGCGTGCGTTTTAAAATTAATAAATAAAATAAACGTTCGCGTGTTTCTACTACGACTACCGTATACAGGCGAAGTCGAATTGCATTTATATTAATCGAATCGCACTTGGGTTAAAAAAAGATAATATTCAAACTGCTCTCGGTTTAAGAAAGTGTTCGAAAAAATCAATTGATTTTTAACGAGGGATCATTTTAACTAACATTTTGTCAAAAATACAAAAAAAAATTTTTTATATACTCCGATTCAAAATTGTAAATTTCGTAAAAATATAATACTATTAGATATACAATAAAAATATAAATATAGCAATTGTTGACATAAGTACACATCGATCACTTCAATTTTGGTAAAAGTGCAATTTGAATTACCTCTCTTTACCAAAAATCACTCATATATTTTCAACTCGAGAAAAACCTATGGGTTTTTTTGAAATATTTACAAATAATAATAATTCCAAAATAATTCGTATTTATGTAAAATTTTACAATCGACCTCATGTACTAGATTATTTTGTATATGCAATACATATTAGGAAATACCTACACAAAAAGTTACAATTAATCGTGTCTGCAACTTGTGTACAACTAACGGAAGGTGTATTTTTTTGTTTTAACTAACTGCTGACGATAAACATGTTACCCCTATGGTATATATATATAAAAAAAAAAAACAATTCCCATAGAAAAAAAAATATATCCATTTCGGTATAGTAAACTAATTAACATCAATTGTGCCTCTTTTTTTGATGTCTGCGGAAAGACTCATTTAAAAATACCAAATAACAATGTACCGGTTTAGTTAGTAGGAATGTATTTTTTTACCAGTTGAAAAAAATGCTTGTACGTTACGTTTGTTAAATTAAATTTTATATTTATCCTTATTTTCTAAAACGATTGGTTCATTAAAAAAGTCCCAATAAAAAACGAACAAAAAAAATCTTTAAATTACATTCATTGATATTATAGCTTTATTGTGCACAAGTATTATTTCATTTTCCCTAAGTAAATAAGTATGTTTGAATTTATAAGTCATACAAAGTTATAATATTCGAGTATGAAATTATTTTTATTCAAAATAAAATAAGTATTTTAACAAAAAGGGACTATTATAAAATCAAAAATTATATATTATGAATGTTTATTCATAATATCAAAATAATTATTATTTCTTAACAATGATTTAGAGATAATAAATGTATTAAAGATCATAAATGGTGAATATGTAATTTAAAACAATATATTATTTTATTCCTTTGTTATTATAAAACTTGACTTACTGTGGGATTTATTTGGGAAAACTGGTTTTAACAACAATTTGTACAATAAAAAAAAAACGCTGTCTTACCTTGAAACTGTCAAGCCCTCAAATTATTGTAATATATATATATATATACACACATTATGTGTATGTTATATATTATATTATTAAATAGTGGGAAATAAGAATACAATTTTGTTTAGTTGATATCCAAAATCGTAGATCATACTTATTCGTTAAAAATGCATTGGAGTGGACAATCTATTATCTAATTTAAATAAAATGAGTGAATCGTATTAAATAATAAAATTAGTTTCTATTAAAAATATTTCTATCTATCAAACTTGTATTTTATGTTTATAATCAGTAAAAAATTATATATGTTGATTGGACTTTTCACCTATGTTACGGGTAGTCGGATGAATAACTTAAACTTTGACGTGAACCTCTTCGGTTGAACAGGAAATCGCCTATTGATGAAATAGTTGTACTTGTATCTAAAAATGTTATAAAATCACTGGATTTTTTAAAAAAAAAATTATACAGTACACAATGTTAATGGCTCAATCCTTAAATATTCATACAGATTCAAGTTGAATAATGACTGTTAATTACGAATAATAATTTTTAATGGTTTTATATATATATACGTTAAACAACATTGCGTTCAACACGAAGGGAATTAATTATGTTTGAATACTACGAATCATGAAATACCCTACGATTCAAGTATTCAACTTGGAAATATTTATTACATAGAACTCACGGATGTTATTACATAAAGGGTGTATCAGTTTATTTAGTTTTATAATATCTAGTGTAACAAATAATTATGAACACACGGTAAACACAAATATTTACTTTCGATTGTTTTGATCGGAAACTACCTTGCAAAGGTAATACTAAAATATATAAGCAAAATTAATAATAATCACTTCCCTAGTGCCGAAATCCTATCTAGTTAATAAATAGGTAATAATAAAAATAATTATTACTTAAATAAATCAACACCCCCCCCCATAAATAATCTTTATCTACGCCCTTGGTAATAATAACAATAATATACATTAAACGTACGGATGCGCGTCTGTTCCTTCGCTGCGCGGCGTCGGTGCCTAAACGGTTGAACAGTGGATAGTTTTTCTGGTCGTCATGCTCCGGCGCGAACGCTTGGATCATTAAAAAAAGTAACACCATTGAATGAATATGTACGGTGTTTGAGAACATGATCCGGAATGCGTTAAGTTATTTTAATAAGATAACATCGATTTGAATATATACTCCAATGCGAGATTATATGGGAACAAAAATGTATAGCATGGAGCCAATTAGCGTTTTTTTTTTCTTTCGGCTTCTGTACGGACAACTACGCACGAGTGGATTCGCAAACGTGTATCAATGATTTATGTGTTTATGTTTATATTATTTACTTATATTCACGCATGTTTATGTTTTTTATAACTTATTTTTTGTTTGTTTTCCCTCCGAAGGCGAAAGTGAAGATTTTGGACAAAAACGACAACCGTCCCATGTGGCCGAGCACTCCGATCGAGTATAAAATTTCAGAGGAAATACCGATCGGCTCTCTGGTAACCACGCTGAGAGCCACCGACCCCGACTTGGACTCGACGCTTACGTACACGATCATCGGCGATGACAATAGTTCACCATTGACGTTGGACGCAATCACGGGCAATGTCCGCGTGCGCAAGCCCATAGATAGAGAAACCAGTCCCAAACACGTACTGCCGGTTCGGGTATCCGACGGTATTCACCATAGCGATACGTCCGTAGTGTTCATCGTGAGTATTTATTTTGCACACAGTATACGAACGCGTATAGAGAAGTTTCCATTTTCGCGTGGATATCCGATAACTATTGGAGTGCGTTTCTCAACCCGTGGTACGCGTTTAGACATGGGAGTGTACAAAAGATGAACTCAAAGGGTATATGGAAAAAAAAAATTATCGATTCCGTAAAAATATAGAGTTTGATTTAATTCAAATCATCAAATTGGTTGGAGTGTACGCGAAACACCGGTGAGCAGTCGAGGGGTGAATTAAAAATGTTGAGAAACGCTGTTCTATTGAAACGATGCTTATTAATTATGCTGATACGAATATAATTTGCTGTTATTATTATTTTTTTTTTAATTCGTGTATAAAATACATACATTGGATTATAGATACTTCAGTGGCGTATCATGCATATTTACTTAATGTAAGCGATACTTACACTTTCGGTTGTAAAACGTTATCTAGGTATATTTGAAATTAACAAATTTAAATTAAATTTAAGCCGCATTATAAAGTTATATAAACGTAACATTATGTTTTAAATTTCTTGGTGGTATTATTATTGTTGTTAAAACTGTTCGCTCTTCATCTAATATTTTATATTTCTAGTTTTGTAATTTATGTATCTTTTTCCTAGTATTATGCTAATATTCTATGTAATTGGGCACGTCCCGTTTTTTCAATAAATAAATAAATAAATAAATAAAACAAATTCGATGGTTTTGGCTGTCGGAAGATCACAAGCTGTTAATACTCATAGACATTTTGATCAACAATGACATTTTATAGATGCGAGAAAAATAACAAGAGAGCAAGTGATTTAAATTCCTTTTTTTCATTTTGTGCATGAGACGGTGGAAATTTAGAAATTGGAATTTTCGTGTACAATACTGAAAAGTGTAAGGGGTGGTGGTACTGACATAGGTAATTTAAAAATATATTGCCTGATCAATGACATAGGTTTAAATAGTCAAACACACGTTTAATAAAATAAAATATATATTAAAGTATTTTCCACGCTATGATATATTTTTTCGATATTATTATGTACCCTATGTGGTAAATAATAGAAGGAAGTTCAGGTTAGGTATGAATGATAGTGATTGTTTACACCACTGTCACCACTGATGACGCATGTATGTGCTCTGTACGAAATAAATTTGTAGAAGCCGATATAGTGTGCGTACATACGTCAATATAATGATTTGTGCACAAAAAATAACAAAAATATTTTATGTGCAATCAATAAACAAACAATTGAATCATAATAATTTATTATAGGTTAGTTAATTAATAATTATAGGTTAGTTAGGTTAATTATTTATAAGTAGGAATTCAATAAGTATCTATCATTCAATTGCGTTAAAAATATGTTCGTTCTTATCTGCCAAAAACGTTTTTTCTTTTTGATTCTACAATGTTTAAGCACGTGCTATACATTTCTCGTAAGATTATCAGATTTGTAAGATTATGGTAATACTTTGACGGGAGTAGTAATATTCTCTTATAATAGCTGTGGATTAGTTTGTTTTAAAAATATAATCTTTACGATGTGCATCTACTTAGATTCTCGACACCAACGACAACGCACCTGTGTTCACGAAGGGTATTTATTCTTTGGACGTGAGCGAGGCTACCACTAGGGGCACGAAAATCGGTGACATCTTGGCCATAGACGAGGATGAAGGCGTGAACGGTGTGGTCACGTACTCGATGATAAGTGACTGGGCCAACGACGTGTTCAACATCGATCCTCATACGGGAGCTTTTTCCCTGACCGGAAAACTGGATTACGAGGAGGCAAGTGCAATAGTAGTTTTTGTGTGCATAGATACTCGTATTAAACGGTTGTCGGCAAACCCCGGTGTAATAACTCAGAAATATTGTTATTATGTTTGTGATTCAGGTGCAGCATTACATCATGACCGTTCAGGCCCAGGATGCGGGAAAGCCAATGTTGTCCTCGACGGTGACGGTGTATATAAACGTTATCGACGAAAACGACAACGCACCCGTGTTTGAGACAAACAGTTACAACGTGGACGTGTATGAAAACGCTACTGTCAACACGGTTGTGGCGACGGTGGTGGCGACGGATCGTGATTCAGGTAAACATACACATTTATTCCGATGTGCGCTGTGTGTACCTACACCGGTACTTGGCGGGTACACGTGTTTTGTAATTTATAAGTAAACAATTCATTTTTTTTCTTCAGTTCTCACTACGGCACCATATATTTTCGGTCTGTTAACTTGAAAATGTGTACGTATAATTTATGCATATTTTAAAATTATATTGCTCGATCGTATGTTCTGGGTTCTTAAACGAGCCGGTACATGGAGATAATTATATGTACATTTTTATGGATTGCGTGTTTGATTTTCTATAATGCATATTTTATGTGAATTTTTGGGATATTTTGACTCACGTATATTTTGTTCTTGTTATTTTATTTTATATATAATTAATATTAATTTTTTTTTATCAAAGAAAGTTTTATTTAGATGTTTTTTACATTCATTTTATAACTAAAAATGAAATGCATATGTTGTGTTTTAAGGACTCAACGGGAAAATAAGGTACTCAGTTCAATCTTTAGATCAAGAAAATAATGATTTCACTATTGATCCGGACAATGGAACTATTTGGCCACATCGCAATTTGGACCGTGAAACCATAGCTTCATATAATCTCGTAATATTAGCCAAGGACGGGGGACGGCCGGCAGCGACTGAACTCTCGTCCACAGTGCAGGTAATAATAATACCATACAAACATTTCAATACTTAAAATATCATCTCATTGTAAAATTATTAATGAGTTTCTTTTATTATAGGTGACAATTACAATTAAGGACGTCAATGACTGTGCGCCTCGCTGGATTACGCCAAACACAACCTCAGTAATGGAAAACGTAGAAATTGGAACTATAGTTACAATTTTAAAAGCTGTTGATGATGATGAGGATAAAAATGGATTTGTTGAGTACTGGATAAACTCTGGTGATGAAAAAAAATTTACAGTTGGATCTGTTGATGGAGTGCTTAGAGTTTCAAATTCCTTAGACCGAGAAACTAAATCTTTGTATCAACTTGAAATAGGCGCTAAAGACCGAGGTGATCCTTCTCTAAGTTCGATTCAGAAACTTACAATTAATATTTTGGATGAGAATGATAATAGCCCAATATTCGAACCGAGACATTACACTTCATCTGTACTTGAGAATGTAACCATTGGGTATACAGTTGTCCAATTATTTGCAACTGATAAAGATGCAGGCCCAAATGCCGCGATAAGGTATACTATTACAAACGGAGACGATAATTTGGATTTTAGTATAGCTGATGACACTGGTTTAATACGAGTAGCAAAGTATCTTAACTATGAACGTAAATCTCGTTACGTATTAACCATTAAAGCCGAGGATAGTCCTGTTGGTGTCGACAATCGTGTTAATTCGGATGAAGTTACAGTTATAATTACTATTTTAGACATTAACGATAACTATCCAGTTTTCCCAGACTCACCTTATATCATTCATGTTCTCGAAGAATATATCCCCGAATCCAAAGAATTTCCAATGACTATAGTGAAAGCAACAGACGCTGATTCAGGATATAATGGTAGAGTGAGATATTATTTAAAAGATACGGACTATTTTACCATAGATAGTGTTTCTGGAAAAATATATCTCGTAAGAAGTTTGGATAGAGAAGTACAATCTGAACACTTGATCACTGTAGTCGCTATGGACTCTGGTAATAATATAATAACTTGAGTATAGCATTATAAAATAATGTTTTCACTGATTTTTTTTTTCCAGGCACGCCTTCATTGAGTGGCACTGGATTTATAAGTGTAATAGCACAAGACGTTAATGATCACAGCCCACAATTCCAACAAAAAAATTATGTTGTATACATTGATGAAAACAGTCCAATCGATTATTCCATAACTCAATTGACAGCCACAGATTCTGATATTGGTTTAAATGCTAAAATTAAGTATGTTTTGTGTAATTTTTCTGCAAACATTTTTTATAAATTATTTTATGTTATTTTGTAGGTACAGCCTCTTGGGAAATAAACAAGATAAGTTTCAAATGGACGAAGATACTGGAATACTTAGAACATCATCTAACATAGATCGAGAAGAAAACGAAGTGTATTATTTAACAGTTGTAGCACAAGATTCAAGTTTAACAGAACCTAAAGCATCGGTAACAAACTTGACGGTGTTTGTTAGAGATATTAATGACAACTATCCAATATTTTCTACTTTGCAAAGCATCATATATGTATCGGATAAAACTCAAGCAGGACATTTTATATATGGAGTAACTGCTATAGATTTAGATTCTGGAGATAATGGAAAAGTTATTTATAATTTAATATCAGGCGATATAGATATGTTCCATATTGATAAAAATACTGGTGTAATTGAATCAATTCAAAAATTGAACAAACAAATGGAATACAAAATAAAAATCGAAGCTAGTGATAAAGGACAAATACCTAAAGTTGCAGAATTTGAGCTGACTGTGATCCTTTGGCCTGATCATGATTTCCCAGTGATACGACATATTATGACACAGCAGTTGTCAATTGTTGAAAATTCAAGTCCTGGAAGTGGGGTTTCACGAGTTTTGGCAACATCTCCAAAAACGGGACCTAAAGGACTACTGCGTTTTTCTATTGCAGGAGGTGATTTTGACAATACGTTTGAAGTAGATTCAGTTAGTGGTGAAGTAGTTATCGGTAAAAATGGAATTGATCATGAAAAATCTAGTCAATACAAAATTTGGATTGAAGCTTCAGATTCAGATGAACCAAAGCTTAGAAGTGCTGTACTATTAACCGTTAATGTCACTGATGTAAATGACAATCCACCTGTTTTTGAGTATCCATTTTATACTGTTTCCATTCAAGAAGAAACGTTCCCTCCTACACCTGTTACAACTGTTGTAGCAATAGATAGTGACACGGGTAAAAACAGTATCATAGCGTACAGATTAGTTGATGATATCAATGGTATATTCAGCATTGATGATGTTTCTGGAGAAATAATGACAAATACGAAATTGGATAGGGAGACTGAAGATCGCTATACATTGATGGTTGAAGCTGTTGATCAAGGTTATCCATCACTTACTGGAACTACTATGGTCCATATAACGGTTTTAGATATCAATGACAATCCACCAAGATTTACCCGTTTATTCAGTGTTAATGTTACGGAAAATACAGAAGTTGGCTCATTTGTTATCGGTATTACAAGTTCAGATTTAGATGTAGGTATCAACGCCAAAGCAACCTATAGATTCACGGAAAACCCTGGAAATATGTTTAAAATCGATCCAGATACAGGAAAAGTTTATATAGCTGCACCAATTGATCGCGAGATTCAAGATGAGTATTTACTTAACGTTGTTGCAGCTGATGGCTCATGGCAAGCCGAAACTCCTTTAACTATAACAATTCAAGACGTAAACGATAACGCACCGGAATTTGAAAAATCGTGTTACAAGTTTAATTTTCCTGAAACAAATAAAATCGGAGCTACTGTTGGTCGGATTCTTGCAACCGATAAAGATAAACAAGGTTCAAACTCTGTTGTTTCTTATAATTTAAAACAACCTTCAGATGTATTTTTTATAGATCCAATATATGGAGATATATTTACCAAACGTGCATTAAAATATAAACATTCTACGAAGGATACATCACCAGAAAACGAATACACTTTAATAGTTCAAGCCACTGATAATGGTAAACCTCCTTTATCAACTGAATGTTTGACAATAATCAACGTTATCGATTCGAATAATAATTCACCTCAATTCAAAAAGAAGAAATATTTTTCACCTATCCCTATAAATTTGAAAATTTGGTCACCTTTGATAACAGTCGAAGCCACTGACCATGATTCCGGTGTAAATTCTGAAATCGAATATTTTGTGTACGGAGGAAATGCTACAGACTTAGTTCAAGTGGACCGATACTCTGGTTTAGTTTCTTTAAAGAAAAAGTTGACCGACACAGATTTAGGACAAAATTACGATTTAGTGATCAGAGCAATAGACCACGGAGTACCACCTAAACAGGACACTACTGATGTGACTTTTATTATGACTAGTGAGAATAATTTTAGTCCAGAATTTTCATCATTAAGTTATCAAGTTTTTGTACCAGAAAATGAACCCATCGGGACTACAATATTAATAGTTAATGCTTCAGATCAAGACGAAGGACCAAATGGTTTAGTAAGATACTCATTTGAAAATGTATCTGACAAATTCAAATTGAACCCAAAAACCGGTTCAATAACTATTGCTAAAATTTTGGATTTTGAAAGTATTAAAGAATATAAACTCATTATTGTAGCAACTGACACAGGATTTGAACCAAAACAGTCCAAAGCTACATTATCTATTATACTAACTGATATTAATGACAATCCACCGACTTTCAATAAAACTTTATTTGATGTATTTATTCTTGAAAACTCACCACCTGGAACATTTGTGTCACAAATGGTAGCAAAAGATCTAGATTCTCCTAAAAATGCAATAATAAATTACTCTATCATAGGTGGTACTGGAGAACATTTGTTTTATTGTAACAGCACGTCTGGTGCCATTTATTCAAAACAAGTATTTGACTACGAAAAAGAAAAATCCCATAGTCTTGAGATATTAGCTATTAACCCGGATTCAGTACTTTCTGGGTCTACTAAAGTTATAGTACATATTGAAGGAGTTAATGAATTTTATCCGACTTTTAGTCAATCCGTTTTCTACTATGATGTGCCGGAATCTGCTGAAATCGGTACTAATGTTGGTGCAGTAAAGGCAACAGATTTAGACGCTGGAAATGATGGTAAAGTTTATTACTTCTTAGTAGGATCTAGTAATGATAAAGGATTTACTATTGATCACAACACCGGATTATTAAGAGTTTCTAGACGCCTGGATAGAGAAACACAAAACCGAATTATCCTTACAGTTTTAGCGAAAAATGCTGGTAGCATTAGAGGAAACGACACGGATGAAGCTCAAGTGATAATATCAATACAAGATGGTAACGATCCTCCAGAATTTGATCAAGAGTATTATGAGTGCTTGGTTTCTGAAGGTACTAGGCCGGGAGCAAAAATATTGACTGTTCATGCTGTCGATAAAGACGCCTGGCCACAAAATAATCAATTTTCCTATTCTGTGCTAAACAATGTAACAAAATTATTTCGAATTGATCCACAAAATGGAACTATTGAAACTGTTGGACATTTCGATAGGGAGACTATCAATTACTATGAAATTATAATTGGTGCAATTGATACAGGATCTCCGCCTCAGACGGGAAGTGCAACGGTTAAGGTTATGATAACTGATGTTAACGATAATGGTCCAGTACTAGCACCTGATTATAGTGTCGGATATGTTTCTGAAAATGAACCTATAAATACAAGCATCATGATACTAACAGCGACTGATGCAGATCAACCTCCAAATGGGGCTCCATTTACGTATCGAATCGTTGGTGGACCTCATAGAGAATTTATAACATTGGACGAATCAAGTGGTCTTCTTAGAACTGCTAGATCAATTGATCGCGAACAGACACCAAACCTTAGTATTGTGGTATGTATTATTAATTATTAAACCGTAAATATAGGTGAAAAATTAATTTACCTCTTTTTATCACGTATTCATAATTAATACTGGATTTTAAATGATAATTATTTTATTCTGAATTATTAATATAAATTCAACGCCCATATATATATTTTAATTTCACTCATACAAGCAGAATAGGTGCAGAATTTAATTATCTAATATGACCAATAAACAAATGATAACTAAAACAAAAACTTTAAAAATTAAACTTGTATTTAATTTAATATATGTTTTCATATTATTTGTATAAACATAATAATAATTATATTATTTTGTTAATTTAGATTTCAATTACGGATAACGGTTCACCTCAAATCACTACAGAAAATCTATTAAATATTATTATTTTAGATCAAAATGACTGCCCATCTAGTCCAAGATCAGTGCACGTCCTTGTTTATTCAATAAAAAATGAATATCCTATTGGAAAAATTGCAGACGTGAGACCCATTGATCCTGATACAACGGGAGATTATAAATGTAATCTTGAACAAACTTCAAACGATTTCTCAATTCCTGAAGCTTGTGATTTACACATCAATAGTATTTCCAAGCCAGTTACTGTACTCCGCGTATCAGGAAATGATGGCAAACATGATTCTGTCACTAATATTATTAAAGTTGAATACCAAACAATTGATAAAAACATTATAGAAAATACAATTTTTACAAGAATTGAAAATATTACTGCATCGGATTTTATTGAAAACCATTATAAAACATTTATGAATATATTAAATGCGACATTTGAAGACCACAATCCACTATTATACAGTATCAATGAAGTAGATGGCAGTATTGAAGTAGCAATAGCAGTCAGAGGTCTGAATAAAGATTATTTAAACGATGCATTACGAAGTAAATCAAATAATATAGCTCAGACAACAAGATTAATGATTTTCTTTGATTATTCCCCTTGTCAAAAAAATATTTGTGAAAATGATGGCAATTGTTCTACTTCTCTTGCCATATCAAAAGAACCACATGTGACTAACAGTAATGACTTCATTTTTACTTCACCCTCCATTTTGCAAGAATTTGTTTGCACCTGTGCAGAAGGATACGCTGGAAAAAAATGTGATAAACGTCAAGATCCGTGTGCACCGAACCCTTGTCAGTATGGAGGTACTTGTAGAAGACAAGGTATTAGTTATCAATGTTTCTGTCCTTCGAATAGAGAAGGTTTAGAATGTGAGAAAGAGCGTTACGATAAATGCGACAACAATCCTTGTATGAACGGTGGTAGTTGCAAACAAACTCAAGACAATATTGGTTACTTCTGTTTATGTAGACCAGGATACCGAGGCAACGTTTGTGAGTTATCGGCTGATTCGTGTCGACCTAACCCATGTTTAAATGGAGGTTCGTGTGTATCCTTGAAACCGGGTTACAAGTGCAATTGCCCTAATGGGTTACACGGAAGGCATTGTGAAAAGTCGTCTTTCGGATTCAATGAGTATTCATTTATGTCATTCCCATCGTTGGACAGTATAACAAATGATATTACACTTGTTTTCTCCACATCCAAACCGGACTCGTTACTATTATACAACTATGGAACCCAAGTTGGAGGCAGGTCAGATTTCATTGCAATTGAAATAATTGAAGGGAAATGTGTTTTCTCCTATGGTGGAGCTAGAAGTTCAATAACTTCAATTAGTGTTGGTAAAAAAGACGGATCTACATTAGCTGATGGCCATTGGTATAAAATAACAGCCGTAAGAAATGGAAAAGTCCTATCTCTGAGTGTGGCGTCATGTATTGATAATGGAGACAATTGCCAAGAATGTAGACCATCGGATAAGTCATGTTATAGCGATAACACGGGAACCGTTGGGTATGTAGTAATAAACAATAGTTAATAAAAATACAATATAATTGTAATTAGTAATATTATAAATATTATATTCTAGGACTTTGAACTTCAATGGAAATAATTTATTGATTGGTGGAGTGATTTCCGCAGACCCTCTTTTGGAGAGACCCGGACAATTACACTCAGATGATTTTGTTGGTTGTGTGCATAGTATTATTATCAATGGTAATGCATTGAACCTCAGTAGCCCAATATCTTCAAAAGCGGTAGACCCATTTTGCAATCGCCAAGGTCAATGCACTCAATCATCAACATTATGTGGTGAAGGATCGTCCTGTTTAGATCGATGGACCAGTGTGATGTGCAGGTGTGAAGAGAATGATGTATTGTCTCCAAATTGTTTCCAAGCGTTCAAATCGATCTCGCTGGGCGAAGGTGCATTTCTAGAGTACAAAATTACAGAAAAACATAGACGAATGCACTTATTAGAATCTATTTATAACGGAACAACGGTTTGGCGACAACAGTCTAGAACTAAAAGAAGTTCACTTATTGCAACTCCTATTAAAGAACTAAGTCTTATGTTTAGAACAATGAAATCAAATGCAACTATACTTCTGGCAGCTTCAAATTCTGATTTTACGCTAGTTAAAGTACGTATTTATACCTATTATTTGAAAATATTAATAATTAAAAAAAATATGTAATTATTTTTTCCACGTGTTTCAGCTTACCAGTGGTAAACTATTATATTCGTCGTTCCTTAGTACTTCCACGTCCACTGTTAATATGTCGGTCGATAAAAATGTAGATGACGGAAATTGGCATAATTTAACAATGGCAATCGGCTCCAAAAGCTTGAAATTATTTTTGAACGGACAAAAAGTCGGCGAAGAACTGGATTCGGCTAGTGTACACGATTTTTTGGACCCATATTTAACTAAATTGTACTTAGGTGGTATCGATCGTGATTATTTTTCTGGAAAAATCGATATTTCAAGTGAGATTTTGGTTTTATTAATTACGTTGCAATTTGTATTTATATGATACATACTTTGCAGTTGTATTTATTTTATATTTCATATTTTGTTCCCAGGTTTTTCAGGGTGCTTAGCTAACTTAACTATCAACAAAGAATTACAGCCATTCAATGGTACTGGAAGTATATTTCCAGAAGTTTTCCATACTGGAAATATATCTTTTGACTGCGATCTGGCTGGGCTCTCCGCGGTTGGAGTGGCCGTAACGGATCCACTCAGCCTTGGAATCACGTTGGTTATCGTGTTTTTCGTCATACTATTAATGGCTATCACGATCAGTTTTGTGGTGTTCAAAATACGAAGACAAACAAAATGTGATAAGGATTCTGATAGTGGAAAAGATCATTTCCAGAGCGGCCTTCATTCTGAATCTCCAGCTCTGAACACTATTCCCGTATCATCATTCATGTCCGAAACAGGGGACGTAATACGACATCATATGGTGCCTCCGGAATTACTATCAAAACGTTACAAAGACCAAGACATGGGCATGAACGATACGCACAGGCCACATCGACCAGATATCATTGAAAGGGAGGTCGTGGGAAAATCTCCTCCACCTCAAAGAGACGAGATCAATCAGCACATGAAAAATATGCATCAACATGATAGTGTGACCGGAGATCACGATATGCCTGAACACTACGACCTGGAAAATGCTAGTTCCATAGCACCATCGGATATAGACATTGTCTATCACTATAAAAGTAAGTGTTTTTATAACGTTAACCGTAGTGATTTTATAGTTCTAAACGATTTTGTTTAAGCACTAAGAAAGAAAATTCTGAAACTCTTACACAAATTTTTATTTTACATAATTATAATTGTTTGTCTATATATGTTATGCTAAATGTACTTCTTTATTTTATCCATGCAGATTTAATTTATTATAGGTAATTGATTCGAATATTAGTTTATGTGTTTTCAGAGTATTTTATTAAACTGTTGATCATCATTTATTCGTTAAGTGTTTTGCATTAATCATGTATGCAATTGAAATGCATTATTCATTCGAACGTACATTTATTTTTTATTTCGTTTTCAATCTATAAGTCATCATACACTTATACATCTATTTTAATACATGCAACTTTTTTTAAAGATATTTTAAAACATGGTAAATGTGTTTTATTTTTTTGTTCATATTATTCTTGATTAAATTATTGAATTTATAATAGTATGATGGTAATATAGTGTATGTATTGTTTTTCAGGTTACCGAGATGGAAACAATTTACGGAAGATGAAGTCTCATCTTAGTCCCGGGTTGCCGTCTAACATGTATCACAAACAATTGCGACACGCGACTGGTTTTCAATCGCCACATTCCAGAGATAGCCGGTCAGTAGCACCACCACCCCCGCCACCTTTGGAATCTGCCAATCACATGCAACACCAAAGCACGCCGCTTGCTAGGCTTAGTCCTAGCAGCGAAATAAGTCAACAGCTGCCCAGAATACTCACACTGAGAGTAAGTATGATTGTTAACTCTATGTAGAATCTAAACATAATTTACTGATGTTTGAGGAACAAATTGACAATATTCATAGTTTATGTAGGTCGTAGATGCTTAATTTATTAAAGTACAATCTCCATTAGTAGTATTAGAATATTTTATCTAAATCATATTTCTTCAACTCTAATAATTTATTTGAAGATCAACATTATATGAATATTTAATATCCAATTATATATGGTTTGAAATTATCTATTAAACGAACTAAGGGACAAAGAGATGCAATAGGTAATATACTTAATATATCAATATAATATATGGTCAATACATGAAATAGATAAGCCTGTCAATCATTATTGTTATAGTATACGTAACATTAATTTGCCATTCAGTAAATGGTAATGATTTGCACATATATTGACATTTCTTTAATTCATAATATATTTATTGGTACTAAATAAGTTTTAGTACCGTACAATATTGTTTAAGCAATTTATTATTTAATTTGAATAATGTTAAGTAACGATAAAATAACAAATAATAAACGCGATAAAAATGCTTACATTTATTTTGATAATCGTCACGTGAGCTACAACGCTCAATCTATTTTTCCATTTATATAGTACTGGCGTGAGAGGTGTGCAGAAAGTACAAGTACACAGAGCTTCGCATTTATAATTTGCACAGAGTTTCGCAAATCATAGCGCCGGCAAAGCATTCATATTATTATTAGTTTTATTTTTATTTTTTTTTTTATTCCAAAACAATTAATTGTTATTTTGTTTTTATATTGGACGATACTTATAGAATTATACGTCACATCATCTTCGTATTAATATGATTAGCAACACATTTATTTAATAAATTATTGGTTCGGAAACAATACGAGTATATTACAAATATTATGTATTTCCTTGCTATACACAAATATTGTTATAAAATAATTTTAAAAATAATACTTTAATTACATTTTTTTTCTAATCATAATTATATTAAAAATACTATTATAACGATAATAACACAATTTTATTACGATTATTAAAATTTGTATGACTATAACACGTCTGCTAACGAGAAAAAGGTTATAATATGAAGATGTCGTTGTTGCGAGTGAGCCATAAAGAAAACAGTTCTAGATTTATATTTGTAATTGAAATTTATGACTAACAACACGTTCAAATGTTTAACTGATAATCAATTTGAATGCCTCTACGCACGCCATTGTTTTCGTACACGATTTCTTAACAATTTATTAGATGGTATTGTAGCAAGTCTATAAAGTGTATACTCGTAATATTACGGTCGCATTCGTTTTAGATCATCTCGAATAGTACGATGTTGTATATATATTTTTTTTTACAATAAGTCGAGTTTTAAAATTTCTCAATATTTATTTCTGTAAACAGTGAAATATAACCATTCAAATCAAAAATTGAATATTTACAGGGCCGTTGTAGAAAAAAAAAAATTATTAATGAATAAAATATTGTTGCTAACTATTACACATAAAAAAATTAATGATAATTAAAATTATCTATCGTCGTACGTTAATTATAATTAATTAATTAATTAATTAATTAATATTATTTATCCTCCTAAATTTGGTGTAGCCCATTGGACTTAACTTTGTAGCTCATGCATTTTTCTGGGTCCGAATCTCTTATGAACAAATTGCACTGCTTTAGAATTATTTAAATGATCGCAAGTCAATATAATTTATATCAACTGCAGAACAACTGCCACCGTTGTTTCTATCGCAAATACAATCGCATATCATTAAAGAGTTTCAATTCAATGAAATTATACTTATTTGCAATAGAAAAATAGCTTAGAATCCTAGTCTGTATGAAATCTGTACAATTGCCACGTTTATTCATCGCGGTCTATAAAATATAATGTACATTGCTTCGTTTTTCGCTCCACGTGGTATTGTTCAACGATTTCTGCTCGCACGATTGACGAGAACTTATAGTATATCCGGTTTGAAACAATAATAAATAATATTAATCTACGTCACCGATTTTTTCGTCTGATTACAAAAAAAATCTTGTAAATCCAAAGTATTCCAGTTGAAATCGATATAAGACATTCGCCATGTGATCTTCGTACAAACTCGCTCAACTAACACGAATTATACATGCTATATGTACACACGTATACGCATGTGTAAGTATAAAACGTAATTTAATAACAAAAATAATGTATTCGTATAATAAACGTTGTAGAAAAAAAAAAAAATTCTTACTCGGGAATCACGTTACACTCGGAACATTATATGCGTTTAGTCGCACTCATTATCATATTATATCTAGTTGGATGTGAAACGGAGTGAGTACGAGATAATTAATTGGAATCCATTATGGCATGCGGTGTTTTTTAGTGCGTGTAAAGACTTATTATGTATATTTATACGGAGCGCGCGTAACTACCACTTATAATAACGTCACGCGGCGCAAATGTGTTCGGGTCATTATATTTTACTAATGGACGTGGACATTGAAAATCGGCGAAGGTATAAAAAAAAAATAAATATAATATAAACAAGACCAATATATTATTATGTACTCCGTTACGATGTATTATAAAACTTGATAGTGACGGCCGGGTCGTGTATATACTTAAAAGTGAATATAATTATTGTTTGACGTGGTCATTACTACGTATAGGCATTTGCAGTTAACTGCAGTTTTGTAAGTCTTTTTGTAGTTTGCAGGACAAGGGTTTAAAATGTTTTTTTTTTTCGTAATACTTTCACTGTACATAGTTTTAGACAGTGACGTTTGACGGGGATTTTAAAATTTTTCTAAAAAAAAAGTGATTTTATAATATAAAAAATACATATAAGGCACAAATTAATAATTACATTGTTCTATTGTTATTATAAATACAAACTTAGAGTTATTTATAGAGAGTATTTATAATCATTTGATGTAAACTGTCTCTTCTTTATGATTTTCGATATTTATTATTTTTTTTCCTGGAGGGTCGAAGACCCGGTAAATCCCCTCCCCCCCTCGAAACTACACCTTTGGTTGTAGACAAAAAAAATAACTGTAATCATAACACTATATAATTATCTTCGTTGACCGCCTCTAACCGGATGGGTGAATAATAATTACAATAACAATAATATTTTTATTTTATTTTATTGATTTAACTATACAATATTTGAGATAACAATTAATAAATAAAATAATTATTTGTTATAATTGGCATGTACATTAATACCGTGTGTTGTGCAGGACATAAGTGGTAAACCGTTGCAAACGGCCTTGTTGGCCACCTCCTCGTCGGGCGTGGTGAGCAAAGACTGTCCGATGCACAGCAACAGCGAGCGCAGCCTGAACAGTCCCGTGATGAGCGGTCACAGCCTGTCGGGCAGCGGTTTATCCGGCGGCGGCGGCGGCGGCGGTGGCGGCGGCGGTAGCGGTGGTGGCGTGATCGGTGGCAGTGGCGGCGGTGGTAGCAGTGGTGGCCGGTCGCAATCGCAGCTGCAGCACGGCCGACCGCCCAGCTTGGTGAGCACGGTGGACGCGGTGTCCGGCAACGGCGGAACCGCCGGTGGTGCGGGCCGGCCGATGGTGCAGGACGATCACGCGCACCATCGTCGGCAGCAGCAGCACCGCCGAGCCGACGGCGTGGGCGGCGACGACGACGACGACGACGACGTGGACGACGACGACGATACCGGCAGCACGACGTCGTCGGACGAGAGCGGCAACGATTCGTTTACGTGCTCGGAAATCGAATACGACAACAACAGCGTGTCGGGCGAGAAGCTCAGCGACGTGATATTCAACAAGATCGGCAGCAGCGGCGGCAAGAGCGCGTCCGGATCGTCGGGCAGGGAATCGCAGCAACGTCGACGGTTGCCGCTCCCGTCGAACGTGGCGGCCACCGTCGGTGGCTCGTCTTCGTCCGACGCCGTCACAGCGGCAACGCAGCAGCACCACCAACAGCAGCACCACCATCACCAACAGCAGCAGCAGCAGCAGGACCAGGACCAACAGATGGCCGCCGGCTACGACACGTTCGACTCGTCGTTCAGGGGTTCTCTGAGCACGTTGGTGGCGTCCGACGACGACGGGCCCATGTACCGGAACGTGCGCACGCCCAACAACGCGTCCGAGTCGTCCAGCATACCGGTGGGCCTGGGCTGGGATTACCTGCTCAACTGGGCCCCGTCCAACAACGGCATGCGGCCCATCATGCAGCCGCCACCGTCACCGTACGCGGACCACGACCGCCGGCACCGGCACCATCATCACGGCGGAGGCGGCGTTCAGTCGGCCGTCATCGATCCAATGGCCGCGACGAGAACGGGCGACGGGTCGTCAACCTCGTCCCGGCAGTCGCCCAAGTCCCCGGAAGAATACGTCTGACGTCAACGGCCGCGGCGGTCGAACACGCGCGCGCAAACGGTGCTAGTCCAATAATTATTAATTACATTCACCCTCCCCTCCGTGTAGCGTCACCATTATTATTGTCATTATGATTATTACTACTATTATTATTATTATATTATTATTAATTTTATGTATTTTATAAATCTGTCTCTTTGGAATCACTTTTTTTACTATACGAACAATATATGATTCGTCGCCATGCTCTCCACCGCCCGCGCGCGTTGCTTAAACTTGTAATTATAAATAATATTATGTAAAACCGCGTGGGCGCGTGAAATGTACAAAGTTAATACTTTCATATATATATATATACATATACATATACATAAACATATAAATACTTATTGTAAACGCACGCGCGGTCGTAATAACACGACGGCGTGTGTCACGAAATGTACATAGTGTCTGTGCCATATAGTTTTGTAAGTATATAATATTATGTGTACCAATGAATAAAAGTTGACTGATTTTTCTTATTTTTCCATTGCCGTTGTTTTTGTTTGGCCGTACGGGCGTTAGGTACCTCGAAGCGTGCGCACCCCGACCGGGGGTCGGTCCGTAAAGTTGTGATTGCAATCGAACCTGAAACGTACACCCCCTTCCAGCGGTATCTCGGGCACGTCCCCGATGTCGAGTGCACTTTTCCGGATCGTTTTGTTTCCCAAGTTTATAGCAGTGACGAATCCGAGCGCATCCAGGATCTATTCTAAATAATATCTAACGCTATTTGCGTTGTTGAGAATTGGTTTTGGGCTGTTTAAAATTACTTTTTCGTTGTAATGTGCGAACAAAGGAAAATTAAAAAAAAAATTACTTTTTGCGCTGTTGAAAACTGTTTATACTCGATCATAAAATTCATTAAATCAACAATTCTGGCCGAATAAAACCATTTGGTAAAATCGTTGAATTATAAGATTGAAAATTTTTATAAATTTCAAACCAAAATTTGACTGCATAGATTCAAAAAATATATGCGAAAGAATATTATTCCGACCTCTAGTAATAACTATAAAAAAAAAAAGATTAATGATAAACATAATTATTATAGCTTCATGTTGAAATTTAGATATGTATTTAATATTATTAAATTCCAAAACTCTACTTTATTGTTTATTAAATAAGAAGTAATATACATATAGGCAATTTTATGACAGTAGTAAATTTAAAATTGATGTCGTTTGTATTATTATAATGCATTTACAACATAACATTATTAAGTATACCGATTATAAATTGTTTCCAATCGATTTTTTTTTAAAAAAAATATTTTTAATATCAAAAAATAGTTCATAAAATATTCATAAAAATCAACGATATTGTTAAAAATTAGGATTTTTTTTCGATGACAGTTCGATGACAAGTTTAAATTATTTTTGTTTGATAAAATTCAGAAAACATTTAGCCACTTAAAACCATGCGGTAAATAGATTGGCTGTTAAGTATTAGAATTGTGACCTATAACATTTTCGTTGCCATGATGTTTTCTAAATAAACAAATTTAAAAATGTTACAGTTTAAAATTGAAATATGTAGGCAGTTTTTAGAAAATAATGATAAATTTGTCTATTAAATGAAAATGATATTTGTATAAATTGTTTAGGTAAAATAAAACTAAAAAAATGAAAATAAACAGTTATATGTATCATTTAATACATTTCCTTTGAGTTATAAATCATTTATTTATTTGTAAACATAAAAATATTTTATAGATAATTCAGTTTATTTATATTGAATATATTAAAAATTCACATGGAACTTCAGCTTTGGAATTTATTGGGACGGACTTAGTTTGTTGGTCGTCGTACAATTCTCAGTTTCCACCATTTCTTTTGCAGTAAGCACGGTAATGTCCTATATCGTTTATTTGTCCGTTTAACTCATGTGCGTGAGAACATATTCCTCTTAGATGGTACTGGACATTATTAATTTTTACGATTTGAGGCATATTTTCTTAACTTATTAAAACTTGTTGGGCCACTTCAGAATCGATATTTTGGTCGGTTGCATTCTCTGAAATTATATTGAATAATATTTTTATAAATAACTATATGATATGAAAATGATCCGGTGACGGTAAAATACCTTCCCAATTTAGTTATTCAATAAATAAATATATTGATGAAATTCTTGGTTCAATTGTTTTTATTCCTTTGCAATTTACTCCTTTTCGATTTGTATTTTGACACTTGGAAGTTTCAATCATTAATCTTATTTTAATATTTTTTTCCAATAAATTTAAATTTCCATTCATTACAAGTATTGCTATGTACGACGAAAACAAAGTATTAGTCTTCGTACACGTGGGAATTGAGCATTTTATATTATCCTTTATTGTTGGTAATTGTATTAACAATTCTTTAAGAACATTTCCCACCGTTGTTTCATATGAAGCCAATTTCGTACCATAATCTAAATACTCTAGGTTTGGTCGTAAATATTTCATCTGTTAACAAAAATATAAGTTCATTTAGTTGATGGACATCACAGATTATTATATCATAATATACAACGTATATCATAGAATCTACTATATGATTTTCGAAGTCACAATATAATTGATACAAAAGAATACTATAACAAAAATTATAACTTGTTTGATATCACAATGTCACATATTATAAACACATTTATTTACATTAATTGTATAAAATGTAAATTTTATAAAACCAAAATGCTCATACATTATGCTTCTTATTATAAAAATGAATAGAATCATAGTATAATAATCGTCTCATAATAATTTTTAAAAAACGTTTTAAGTTAAATTTTTTGTAAAAATCAACAAAAATTTGTTTAAATAATTTTTTGGAAAATTTAACAATCATATTATCAATTACTCGGATTGGATTCTTTTTATATAAAATAGGTACTTTATTTATTATTAGTACCATTCAGTGGCGTGACTAAGGGGGGGGGGGGCTAAGGGGGCTATATCCCCCCCATGGGCCGTGTTTATATGTATAATGTATCTTGGCTATTTAATAGAATCAATGGATACTCGTTTTAATCAAAGGCTTATTGATGTTATGCCACTTGAAGGACTTATTCCGGCCAATTTAAATATGTATGACGATAAAAATATTATAAAACCTGCTAAAATATATGTCCAAGATCTCTATGATGATACCTCATCTACAATTAGAGCTGACCTGTTCATATGGAGGCAACAATGGAGTCAAAATACTATTGGACTGAACACTGAAACCAAAATTATTATTATTATTATAAATTATATATTAATAAATATTTTTAAAACTATAGATACTAAAATGCTTGAATTACGTTTAGAAACTTGGTGGTAGATGGTGGGGGAGGGTTAAGGGTGAATTCTCATATCCTGTCTTACTTTACTTATCCAAAAAAGTGGTTAGCCCCCCCCCCATTTAAAAATCCTAGCTACGCCACTGGTACCATTGCTTTATAATGCATATATTATAGTTATACCAGTATTTTCGCTCGGGTCGAGTATGCTTTGGCAGAAATTCCATTTATGACTATTCCAGCAATGAACTTCAAGAAAACGTTTTCTTTACCACCAACCGCAGTGTGGTAGTTAACGCTATCGCAATATGCTACCATCAATATTGATAAAACAAAGTCAAATGCACACGTGTTACACAGTATAACTTGTTCAAAGTTCCTAACCATACAACTTTTCAATTTTTCAGAAGGAGAACGTAGAGAACCATTTTTTAAAATTGGTAAAATCTTATTTTTTTTCATATTTTGTAATTTTCTTTGATGAATGGTTTGGGTTAGACCGGATTCTCATCTTATCGGTTGACTTATTCCAACTTTTGGTCGAAACCGTTTTTTCTACTATAGCAGGGGTCTCCAAACTTTTTTATTGAAGGGCCACAAAAAATATCTAATGCTCTTAGCGGGCCAAAATTTTATTAACACATATAATTTTTAATTTTATGAAAATATAGGTATTCAAGTAAAATTTATATATATATAAGTATATATATGTATATAACATTTTAGCATTTTTCATTGTGGACCGCGTGGTAAAATAATTATGATTCATCGGTTCGTTTATACAGAATATGATCGTAAAGGCTGCGCCTATTCAAATATTCCAAAATCCAAAGTTCTACCAATAACGTATTATGTACGTGGTAATAATAAATTTAATGTCAAGGTTAATTAGTGATGATTAACTACCCTTGAAAAATAATTCATTCAATTTTATCAGTGGGTAATGTTCTATATGATTTTTGGTAAATTTTTCAGAAATGCATAGTGTGCAAATGATAGAACAATATAAACATGATAATAATATAAATAATAACTAAATGAAGTTTAAGATCCTTAAACTATAATTTATAAATTTTACAAAATATGATGTTTGTAAATAAACAAAAAGCATTGTAAAGAATATAAGATAAAAAATGATTTTAAGCTCAATCATACATTTTTATTGAGATGGTTTAACTTGTGTAAGACTACAGTAGTATATCAAGAATAATTTATAAATATAATATTTTTCTAAATTGAAACAGAAAATAACATCTCAATCGGATTATAAAGAAGTACGGACAGTTAAAAAATTGAACAAGTTCTTACAGAAATCTTTATCAATATGATTTTAATACTATCATTATGTTTAGTTTAAACACACTTCTCTGTACATGCTATACACTGTTTTCAGCTTCATGTCTTACAGAGTTTTTAAAATAACGTATACAAACCTAGCTACAGTATGTAAATTTTATTTTTTTTTTCGAAAAAAATTAACTAAAATATATATATTTTTTTAAATATTTTAGATAACTGCAATAGTTATGGCTTATTTAATTATCCAAATACAGTTTAAACATGATTAATTTAATCTTCTATTATTGTAACAACTATATAAAATATAACACTCATGTAAAATCACATATTGATGCACGTATTGTTTGGTAGAAACCAGCCATGTGCAAAAATAATTGATATTGAGCTATATCATAATATTCGATTTTTTAATGTTGTAAATAACACTTAAAGAAAACTATCGCGATAAGGAAAAAATGTATTGGAAAAACTTTCTATGTATATGTATTTATATAATATAATATAATACTATATATTTATTTTCTGCTTGTAAAACTTCCCTCAAATAACGTCAATATGTTTAATCGAATGTGATAAACGTAGTTGGATTATCAAAAAAATCCATGATTGTACACGAAAATCCTAAATCAACTAAGTAACTTTAAGACCATATTTATGCCACTAGAAATTAAATTATACTTTTGAGTGTATGTTAACTAACTTTATAAATTTATTTCTTACATAAAATAGATCTTGAAAAATGTTTTATAATGTATAATTATTTCTTTATTATATTTTGTGTCTAAGGATTTGTAGGTCTAATATTATATAGTATTTTGTAAGTAAATTAGTAAATTGATAAATTACTTAGGTTAATTGATAATTGAATAATTTAATTATAACTAATAATAAATCAATAGATACATTTTATTAGTGTAAAGAAAA